TGATTTGCACAGCTCCCGCTCGAAGAGCATGACTTCCTGGTCACCCGTCGAGTTTCAGTGCCCGGATGTGAGGATTCGGGGGTGTAAAACTACAAGCCGAGACGAACATAATACCTTCTGGGCTCATCTCAAGCCGGGTGTCGGGTACGAGGGAGTTTGCAACAACAAGCTGTGCCTGTCATACACGCAGGCGCAGCGGTGCGGCACCAATCCTGGACACGTTGTTTGCAGCATGGGCTTCGGCAAGCACCGACCGAACGAAGATTATTGCTACAAGCAGATTGTATGCCCTGCGTGCAAAGGGGCGTTCTTTCCCCATCGCTTCTTTTTCCAGAAATGTTCGGCCAAGATCAATTTCTGCATCAAAGGCGAAACAGCCGACGAGGTATCTCTTTCCGAGGACAGAGGCTCGAAGTCTAGGGTTTTCGGAAAGCGAGGATCACCTGCAGTTTATATCATGCTTGTGATTGAGGTGGATCTTCCTGGTAAGTATCCGGACGTGGATGAGTTGGAGGTCATAGATACTCTACGATTTGACATGCCTGATAAGATGCGGACGTCTTTGTCCAGAATGTCGACTGCTTCGAGTTCCACTGCCTCTCAGAGTGGTAGTATGAGATTGAATCCGATGGAAATACGCTACATCCAAGACAGCATATCCAACCGCTTCCAGTGTGGTCGCCGCGTTCGTGACACCATGGAGAAGTTGAGGGACGGCCGCCTCCAAGTCGAGGACATTCCCAAGATTCGGGCCTTTCAGCATAATGGACGCTGGTACACGGAGGACAACAGGCGTCTATGGGCCTTCAAGGAGGCTGATGTGTCGTCAGCTCCAGTGCAAGTGGTTGCCAAGGCAAGTGTCGACCAAAGGAAGTTTACCTCTCTGGATGACGGAGCGAGCATTCGCATGCGTGGTTGGTGAGGCAATCACGGGCGCTGCAGGTATACGCAATTCATGTGGATTCGCATTCAGAGTAGAAGCCAGATGAAAAAGTAGCGAACTTGCCGTGCTTGAGCCAAAAAGTGGGCGACATCTGATGATTCTTGCTGCCGTCCTTTCAGGAAAAGGCGGCGCTTGTGTCCCAACTTCAGGTATTGAACCACATTTCCTTCTGAAGCCACGGCAAGCTAACGTATCCACCAAGCCAAACCACCACTTAGGGGTCAGGTGACAGTTCGTGGCATGCACATGTTTGCAATCGCGTCTTTTTCCTGGCCTGTGTTTCTCACAAGGAAAGCCCTATCGCAAACGCTGTTCACATCACGACCCCTCCAAGATTGTTTTCTGTTCCCTTTTCAAGACAAGTCACCAGAAATAATAAGAATCAGCTTGGCACAAAGGCGATATTCGAGGCTGCCAGTTTTTGGATTTGAGGTCGAATGAAATGAAATGAGCCACTGGCTCAAAGCCCATGGAAATGAAGGCTCTGCAAGGGAGCATCCCAACCGTGGGTGCAGCCGCCTTTTTTTTACAATCATTTCTTGCTGGCCTCGCGTGGCCTGCCTGGACCCTTTATCAAGCGAGCCCATGTCGCCTAAGACACGCGTTGGTATTGTAGGCTACCATTTGCGTCTCGCTCTGAGAGGCTGCTAGAGGACGTGAGCCAATGGCGGGCACGACATGTTTGTGTGTTCTTGCAGGTTTTCTTTTCCTTCTTTTACAAATTAAAGCAAATCCTTACACGGGTTTGGGTAGACCAGTTTAATTCGAGGTTTTAGTTTTGAGTCAAATGAAATGGAGTGGCGTGATGCGGAGGGCCTCCTTGTCTTCTTCCAGTTTGCTTGGCAGGACGTCGCTAAGGACGAGGTGCTGGCCGCTAGGTCCGGCCGCGGCTGTGGGGTTTATGGGTAACCATCCGTCTTCTTTGAAGTCTGAAGGCGGGAACTTTAAAAAAGGGTACCGAGCCCCGAAAACAACACAGACCCATTTGAGTGTCCCACTGCTTTTTCTAGGGGTTGATTCCAATTATCCATTCTTTCCAAACCATCGTTCTTTTCAAAAACCTGATCAATTGTCCCTGGGTTTACGGAGGTTTTCTAGAAAGATTCGGATCCCTGGAAGAATGGGGAAGGTACCCCTAGACCCTTGGCTTTCCCCAACAATCTTGGAAGCTGACAAGAGGGTTTTCCTTTTGGGGAAGCCCCCTGTCCACTTCCATGTCTGGTGGAAAGAGGGTGCTTCTGTACAGATTCGGAATCACCGGGAACGTGTCGAAATCGGGGCACCCATGGGGAAGACGTCCTCTTGTAAGCCTATCCGCAGGGGTTGCCAACGGCTTCCTATGGCTAAATGCCGGCCAAGATGAGCAGACATGAGCTCGAGAATCTCCTGTGTCGACCTTTGAATTCCAACCTAAGGACCGAGCCTCAAGAACGGACAAAGAAATTGTCCGGGGCCACTTTCTGCATCACTCAGAAAGTGGCAGTCGTAACGGATTGGTATCACAAGGATTAAACTCCAGAAGGCCAAATATTTGGACGATGGGTCATGTGGGGCTGAATGGTTGGAGGATTTTCCGGAGCCTTGTGGATTTTGGTCCATGTGCAACTCCAACTGCTCGCTCTTTTTAGGGCACATGTTCAAGGGTAAGCGCTGATGCGAGGATACGCTTAGAAAGTCGGTATTTGGAGGACGGGGTACTCCCGATTTTGCGAGACTTGCAAGGCAGCTTGTGAGACTTGTGAGTCAGCAGCAAACTCGGACAAAACCAGTTGGTGTTCACTCATCGGGAAACCATCGACACCTGCCAGGTCCATTCAAAACTACAAACCAAGCAACGCCCAAAGGTACAAACTGCTTGGGGTCCCAAACCGTTTCCCTCTCTTAGCCTTTGGGTCGCAGGTGAAGCCAAAGCCGCACCGGCCCCTTCCTTGCCTCGCCTTGCGCCCGCGCGATCCGAGTGATCCGGGCGACGCTTCCATTTGCCGAATGAATCCATCGAAGACACTGGGGACCCGATCTCCCAGCTGTGCATACATGGGAAATGAATATTGGTTTTTTCCCCCTGTTGGTGGTAGAGGGAATCGATTTCACCGGAATATATGTTGATGTTTTTCCTCAAGGGCCTTAAGCAAATGGAAGGAAAGCGAGCGATTTGTGCTGGGTTGTTCTACAAAAACTCATTCCGCTAGGTTGTGTCCTCGGTGGACAGCCCACGGAGCGGTGGCCAAATCGTCAATCAGCGATTGGTCAAATGCTTATGGTGGAATTCGGCCTACGGCTGTTTCCCTTGTTGTAGCGGTGTCCCACGAATTGCGGAGGATTCGAGACCCCATTTTATTCTTGCTGATTCCCCATTCTTTTGAACCATCGTTCTTCTCAAGAACCAGCCGTTTCCCCTGCGTTTTTGGTTTCCTGAAAAGATTCCGATCCCTGGAAAGAATGCCCCTAGAACTTTGAGCAACCCAGTTTGCGTGAAACTACTTTGCCTGGCTCATGCGCGTTTTTTCGGTCTGTCCCCTGGCAAGGGGCTGGCCCAGAACAGATGGCAAAGGGATAAGGTACCGGCCTGGGGAAGACCCGCGCACGCCAAGCTTGAAGTGCCAGGGGCACTGAACAGCTCTGGGCTCCTGAAAGGATGCAACCCAAAATCAGCTTTACAAATGATCAGATCTTCTAAGTTCATCTGAAGTCTGAGGTGTTTTTTTCTTCTTTCTTTTTTCAGAGGCCCAACTATAGGGCTCTGCTCGAGTCCCGATCTTTTTTAGCCTCTTGGGCGAATGTCCATAGATGCCCCCGCCTGAAGTGGCCGAATTAATTCATTGATTCACCTGCTGCAAGCGCACATGTCGTGGCAGGTCCTGTATTTTGCATTCGGCGAAAACCGTGCCGTTCATGCTGTCCGCTGGCACATGGGACTTCCTCATGGGACCTTTTCCTACTGGGTGCTTTGGCCCTCTAGCCAAAAGGACACCAACCACTTGGGACGGAAGGATTCCGATTTTGAGAAGCTTCCTCCGCACTTGAGATTGGACGCGCCGGATTTAAAGGCATTGGCTCTGAGAACGTACGGGTTGTGGACCTGTTCGTTGGTTGATCGTTGTTGGAGTTTGGGGTTATCAAAGTCACTTTCCTTTCAACCCACCACTTGGGTGAAACTGGAAAAATGAGGCCAGTCTTTGCAGGGCGTAACGAGAGAACGCCCACCCCCCGTGCCGGTGGATTTTTCTTCGCCTGTGAACATGGCTCTTCAAAGACAGGACCCGCGAAATCCAAGCGACAAGTTCCTTTCTGGTTTCCCTTGCATTCAAGGTGAACGGGGTTCCCCTGCCAAAGTCTCCTGATTTGCCTATCCATTTGGAGTTGAGGACATAGATTTCAACCACAAAAACATCAAAAACCAGGCGAGCTCGAACTTTCCCTTATAGTTTGATTGTGCCTTATATCACATATGTCGAGGCTGCATTCGATGCAAGGTTGTCATAAGGCCGAGGGCGAATCCGAGAAATGGGGGTGGAAGCTCACCAAATTCCCATGTGAACACAATTGCATATCGACCGTGGCTGACGTGCATTGCATCCAAGCATCGTTTTGCGTGGCTATATGGCTGGCATGTGCAACTGTGCAGGGGGTACAGCCTCTGGAACAAAACCAAATCACGGAGACACAGACAGGTTGACGTGTGATGACAGGAAATTCGGCGTAAAATTATCGGCAACCATGCGACCAGCGCAGCCCAACTCTTGCAGGGATGTCAAAGATATCATCGGCTCACACAACGGTGCAAGCCCCCAGCATGCGTTTGACTTGTTGATCTGTGGGATGGGACATGTTTAACCGAAAGCAAGCATCTGCTCGCTGCCCAAAATGAAAGCACATGTGCGCTCAGAGATCACATATATCTGGACTGATACCCGTATGCAAACAGATTGCGTTGGCACGCTACAATCAGGCTATGAATGGAACCACAACTCTTCTTTATCTTAGGTCTTGTGATTCTGCAGTAGGAATGTTCAACATCACCTTTGGACTCCATGAGTTTCCCTCGGCGATGCTTCTAGCTAAATATACCCGAACACCTGCAATCACATCCCGCAGAACATTTCGACCGCTTGCCGGAGAGATCTCTCCAGGTCGACTGCGCCGCCGATCCGCGCCGTCGATCGGCGCGGAGTTCGCGCCCATGCGACGCCATGCTGGCGCTGCTTTTCTTCGCCGTGACACGGCCGGCGCTGGCCTGGACACGACTCACCGTGGCAGGGGCCCTAAGGGAACGATGACTGAAGGGGGCTGTAGTTCTTCCATTTTCTCAAGAATATGTTTTCTTCTTCCCTGCGGGTTTTAAAGAGAAACCATTCACTACTGGACCTACGTATGGTTATTTTTCCCAGGGGACTCGAGCAAATGGAAGACTTGGTGGGACCAATTGCTGTGAGTGGCCGAGGAAAGTGCGATTTTGTGATTAGGTCACGGGGATGTCCTACTTTGAGCCGCTTTGCATGAATTTGCACAACCATGCCCTTGATTTTGATAGGTTGTTCCGCTTAAGGAACACGCACCCCGCACTGAATCTTTTCAGAGCAAGACACCGGTTGAATCACTTTTCAATTTTCGCTACTCACATTTGTACCTGAATCGCCAGCTGAGCATGTCCAAGAATCGTTACCAAACACAGCCCAAGACCACCCCGAAGACCCTCAAGCCAAACAAGGCAGGAGTTGGGGTCACTTTTGGGGCTGGCAGGTGCATAGCGAGAAATGCGAGGAGTCTGGCTGCCAGGCGCGGGAGCGGCAGTTGCCGTTGAGTTTGCTTGAGGGGCGACTGTGGATTTTGGCCGTGCAATCTGTGGGCTCTCATTTGGTAAGAAAACGACAAGCAGCTCATCCTTAAAAGAGGGGATATGAAGCATGTCTTTGTTTTCACATTTTTCCCTTCGGTGTCGAAGACAAACCAAGATACCTACTTTTCCTGCAATGACCCCTGTACCTGGCCAGCCATCAAGGGCTAGCTTTGATGGCAAGCACGTGGCTCCAAAAAGTCTATGCGACGCAAACCGGAGGCGGATGCCCTCTTGGAAGAGTTCAGAGGGAAACCAAACGGAACTCAAGGACTTGCGGGTCCTCGTCCAGGTTGAAACTCTTGCAGTCCGTTTGGAAACTCGGCTTTGAGAAACCATGTGGACTATTCCAGCAACGACTGCTTCTCCCTATGTTCAAACTCCCATGTGTCCAGAATGCTTCTGACTCCGATACGGAAAACAGTGTTTCCTTGCTGGTTTTCAACTAGAGCATGCAAATTCACACTGAACCTAACAAGGGGACCATTTCACATGTTTGGAAAGGAGATGCTTCCAACGATTGGGCTTTGTAGGGGTTCCATGTCGATCTGCGAAATAATGACAAACATTCACCAACATGCATTTAAACAAGAAAGCAACGAACAATAACGAACACCAACCCCCTGTGGTATCCCAAACAGCAACACCCCCGGCTCGATCCCCCAGAAACCACAAAAAGCGGATTCCCCTTGACTCATCTTGGGTGGACCGGTCTTGTCTCACAAGACCCACAAGGTGGGGGAGCAACTCGAGTCGAAGCCTTGAGCTGAGCGAGTTGGGCCCTTTTTTGGGGTCAAAGAGGTTGAGCCCCGGGCTGGTTGCGTGCCAGCGATGTGGAGCCGTGTCGGTTTCGGTTTGGCGCGAGCGACAGGTGGCGGCCAAATGCCCTGAGAAGACCTGGCCGGTTGCTTGTGAGAGCGAGCCCAGAGGCCAGGAAAAAATGAGAACGAGCCTTCAGGCGCCTTCTGGATGGTTGCGAAATCCTCGGCACCACCGGTTGTGAGACCCCGGTTTCTGACTCGATTCTTGAACGCAGTTACCAACAAACGTGATGCAGTACCATGGCATGGTTAGTTACAAAAGTGGTGATTTCGTCCATCCACAGTGTCAATTACCAATATTTTAACGCCTCCGGCTCAGGCCACCGACATTACAGGCCTGCTTTCTTATTTGCGTCCCTTTGGAATAGTCCCCTTGCCCCCCTTCCCCTCTAAGATTTTTGTCCCCCTTTCCCTCTTGAGATCCATTCCCCCTTTCCCCCCTAAGGCCCTTTCTCCCTCTGAGATGTTTTCCCTTTTCCTCCCTAAGATGTTTTCCACCCTCTCCCTGTTGAGATCCTTTCCCCCCTTTCCCCCCTAAGGCCTTTTCCCCCCTGAGATCTTCTCCCTTTTCCTCCCTAAGATCTTTTCCCCCCTTTCCTTGTTGAGATCCTTTCCCCCCTGTCCCCCCTAAGGCCTTTTTCCACCCTGAGTTCTTCTCCCTTTTCCTCCCAAAGATTTTTCCCCCCCTTTCCCCCCTAAGGCCTTTTCCCCCCCCGAGATCTTTTCCCTTTGCTCCCTGAGATCTTTCCCCCCCTTTCCCTGTTGAGATCCTTTCCCCCCTTTCCCCCCTAAGGCCTTTCCCCCCGCTGAGATCTTCTCCCTATTCCTCCCTAAGATCCTTTGCCCCTTTCCCAGTTCAGATCCTTTCCCCCCTTCCCCCTAAGGCCTTTCCAGATCTTCTCCCTTTTCCTTCCTAATATTTTTTCCTTTCCCTGTTGAGATCCTTCCCACCCTTTCCCCCCTAAGGCCTTTCCCCCCCTGAGAGCTTCTCCCTTTTCCTCCCTAAGATCTTTTCCACCCCTTTCCCTGTTGAGATCATTTCTCCCCTTTCCCCCCTAAGGCCTTTCCTCCCTAAGATCTTCCCCCCGTTTCCCTGCTGAGATCCGTTCCCCCCTTTCCCGCCTAAGGCCTTTTTCCCCCCCCCCCCCCCGAGATCTTCTCCCTTTTCCTGCCTAAGATCTTTTGCCACCTTTGAGATCCTTTGCCCCCTTTCCCCCCTAAGGCCTTTTTTCCCCCCCGCGGTCTTCCCGCTTTTCCTTCCTAAGGTCTTTTCCCCCCTTTCCTTGTTGAGATCCTTTCCCCCCCTTTCCCGCCTAAGGCCTTTTCCCCCCAAGATCTTCTCCCTCTTCCTCCCTAAGATGTTTTCCCCCCCCTTTCCCTGTTGAGATCCTTTCCCCCCTTTCCCCCCTAAGGCCTTTTCCCCCTTCTCCGTATTCCTCCCTAAGATCCTTTTTCCCACCTTTCTTTATTGAGATCCTTTCCTGCCTGTCCCCCCTAAGGCCTTTTCCCACCCTGAGTTCTTCTCCCTTTTCCTCCCTAAGATCGTTTCCCCCCTTTCCCGCTTAGGATCCTTTCCCCCGTTTCCCCCCTAAGGCCTTTTCCCCCCAAGATCTTTACCCTTCTCCTGCCTAAAATGTGTTCCCCCCCTTTCCCGTTTGAGATCCTTTCCCCCCATTTCCCTTTTCCTCCCAAAGATCGTTTCCCCCCTTTCCCCCCCAAGGCATTTTTTCCCCAGATCTTCTCCCTTCCTCCCTGAGATCTTTCCCCCCCTTTCCCTGCTGAGATCCTTTCCCCCCTTTCCCCCCTTTCCCCCCTTTCCCCCCTAAGGCCTTTCCCCCGCGCTGAGATCTTCTCCCTTTACCTCCCTAAGATCCTTTGCCCCCTTTCCCTGTTGAGATCCTTTCCCCCCTTCCCCCCAAGGCCTTTCCAGATCTTCTCCCTTTTCCTGCCTAAGATCTTTTCCCCCCTTTCCCTGTTGAGATCCTTCCCACCCTTTCCCCCCCTGAGAGCTTCTCCCTTTTCCTTCCTAAGGTCTTCTCCCCCCTGTCCCTGTTGGCCTTTTTTCTCCAGATCTTCTCCCTTTCCTCCGTAAGATCTTTTCCACCCCTGTCCCTGTTGAAACAATTTCTCCCCTTCCCCCCCTAAGGCCTTTTTCTTCGAGATCTTCTGGATTTCCTCCCTGAGATCTTTTGCCACCTTTCCCTGTTGAGATCCTTTCCCCCCTTTCCCCCCTAAGGCCTTTTCCCCCCCTGTGCGATCTTCCCCCTTTTTTTTCCCCAAGATCTCCCCCGGTTGAGATCCTTTCCCCCTTTTCCTCCCCAAGATCTTTCCCCTCGGTTGAGATCCTTTCCCCCTTTCCCCCCGAGATCTTCTCCCTTTATCTCCCTAGGATCTTTTCTCCCTGTCCCTGTTGAGATCCTTTCCCCCCCTTTCCCCCCTAAGGCCTTTCCCCCCCCGAGATCTTAAGGCCTTTTCCCCCCCTGAGATCTTCTCGCTTTTCCTCCCTAAGATCTTCTCCCACCTTTCCTCCCTAAGATCTTTCCCACCCTTTCCCTGTTGAGATCCTTTCCCCCCTTTTACTCCCTAAGGCCTTTCCCCCCCTGACATCATTCTCCCTTTTCCTCCCTAAGATCCTTCCCCTCTTTTCCGGTTGAGATCCTTTCCCCCCTTTCCCCCCTAAGTCCTTTTCCATCCAGATCTTCTCCCTTTCCTCCCTAAGATCTTTCCCCCGCTTTCCTCCCTAAGATCTTTCCCACCTTCCGCGAAATATCCGCTCGCCCTTGACATGGTCGGCCGGATCTGTGGAGGGTAATTACCCGTCTCATGGCGATTTGACAGATCTTTGGACTGGACAACTTTTAGGGAAACAGTGGATTCCGTATTGGACCCGCAAAAGCGAAACTTTGTGCACCCAAGCTGTGCTCAAAATAGGCGACATCTTTGCGGACGGCGTTTTAAAGGTAAGCCAAACGGAGGCCACCTGGAGGAGTTGGTCCCCAACTTTGAGCGAGAAGCGCCCAAGGGAGGGCTGGAAAAACCGCGCCAGGCCATGCTTGGTTCAACCAGGGCTCATGCACGGCGTCGGCGCGCTTGGACATAGAGAGCCTCGGCATGAGATGAGAAATCCAGAGGGCTTCCAAGGCAAGGGCTTTCTGCATTTCCATGATGCCATTTTTTTTCGGATGGTCTAAGGGTCCCGATTGATTTTTGGGCCTTGAAATGGGTTGTTTTTGAGGGCCCATGAGGGGCTGGGGTCTGCATTGGAGGGGTCATGACCCTTCGGATGGTTAAGATATCACCTGTCTGGTTCCAATCAAAGGCTTCACTCCTTGGACATGTTTTTCATGACACGTACAGACCCGACACACATGAGGTGTGTGTGTGTGTGTGTCATGCAGAGGGCCCTCTTCAGTCAAAGATGCACGCTCGAATTTCAAGCACTGGTTGTGGGCCACAGCGTTTGCGCAAAGAATCAGCACGTGCAAGGGGTAATGCAAGCCATCTTAGATGGACTAGTCCAATGTGAAGGCTGACATCTTTAGTGGGCCAAATAAGGAGAGCCCCTTTGCGACCTTTCGTTTCCCTTTAAGCCAATAGCGAGCCGAGCAAAAAAGGCCCGCGGCTTCTCTTCTCCGGTCTGGCGAAGTGAAGCTTGGGCGGGCCCGCAGGATCAGGGCGAAGGTGGCTTGCACCAGCATGTTCGAGACCTTCACCGTTTCAGGCGCGCGGCACTTCTGCACCTCCGTTTCGCAGGGCGGACGAAACGCATCGGGCAAAGGCACTTGGGAGCTCACGAGCCTTTTCGAGCCTTTTTGGTGGGCAAGACGGGCTAAAACCCATGAAGGCATATATATACATATATATACTGCACTTGCGGATTCCTGATCTCGGGATTGCGGTACGTTGCCCAGACGGCTGTGGCGCAAAATATGTACCAGAATGGCACCTTAATTGTTCAACGATATCAGCTGAGCTTGGACAAAACTATATACTCCTGGCAAAAAAACCGCCTTTCGCAGAAAACACGCAGAATAAACCGCCTTTGGAACTCCGGGGATAGGGCATGGCTGCAATTGTACAGGGAGGATACACCCGACAAAGTCTGCACGATTTAGAAGATGAAATTTCTCCAGAAAACCATGGTCGCTATACTAACCCCCATTATTTTTCCTGGTGTTTATACTAACCCCCACGGTTTTTCCCCGGTGAAAATACTAACCCCCATGTTTTTCCTGGTGGTTGCAGTTGCCCCCACAATTTCCTGTTGGTTGGACTCCGGAAAAACTAAGTTAAGAAAATATAAATAAGCAAACACACAATAACAATGATGATTATACAAATAAACATATACAAAAAAAACACAAAAAGCAAAAACAAAAAACACCCATGCGGTCCGCATGCGCCGAGTCGCCAGGCCCCACGGCGCGGTGTCCCGCGGGCTCGCAGCTCCAGCGCTGCTTCTGCCAGGCCGGGGCCCGGCGGGCCGGCGGGCCGGAGCCTGCGGGCCCCTGGTTGGGCGTTCGTTGCCAAGTGGCCCACCAGATGGAGCCGCCAGAGGTTTTTTTTTGGAAGCGTCAGAGTTTCCGAGCCATGCCCCTGAGTTTTTTTTGGGTTTCCGAGCCATGTCATGCCCCTTGTGTTTTTTTTCATTACCCTCCAAAAGTGGGGGATCGTCTTAGTGCAAGGCACCAGTAAATGCTAGGTCCCTGAGCCAGGTGCCATTTTTACCGCTTCTTTTTTGGGGAAGGGTTCTGGACCCTACTAAAATAGACTACAGAAAAAAGTTGGTAGCCTGATTCTAACCTCTCTACTGGAGGACCTAGGTTTTTACTGTGGATAGACAAAACAATGGTGGTACTACTGTGGATGCCCAGACCTTTTGGGGCTTGCAACGGAAGACCCAGATCCTCCGTTGCACAATTCAGAGGGGTTTTGGGGTCTCAACACCTGGCTGTTTGAGGGCCCAAAATCAATCGGGAGCGTCTGGGTGGACAAAATCCGTTAGCATCACGACATGAAGCCATGGCTGAAGCCAATATTTGTTGGTATGTTGCAGGGGAATGCTGACCTCAGATGAATCAAACAACCAGTTTATGAATTGGAGGGTTCTTGGCCCCTCCAAAAGTGACCGGATTCCAACACCCAGGTTGACACCAGCCTATTGAGAAACTGCGGGTTGGGGTCAACATTACCCAGATGCTCCTGCACGGGCCAAGTCAGCGTGATGTTGGGAACCTAGGTTTCCAGCCCCCGGGAATGTGGGGTTGTCGGGGGGTGGCAAACCCCAAGGCAGATTAGAGGTGACATTCTTACTTGGGTGTTCGGCCAAGTTATTAGGTTGTTGGAAACCTAGACTATAGCCCACATATAAAAGGTACCCCCATGTGACATGTTGGCTTAACCTTGTCAGGGGGAGGTATACCCAAATGACTAACCACTTACTAACTTGGCCGAGCATGCAAGTAGAGGGTGGACAAAAGAGATATTGCTAGCCAGCATAGGTGACCTTGGGTTGGTCTGGTTGAAAATAGATGGCACTGGTTGCAGGTTCTTTCCAATCCTTTACCAGTGCCATCTGTTTTATGAAAAGGACACGCTAGCATAGGTGGTCCGAAGTAGTTTTGCCTTTGGGGGAGCGAAGGAGCCATCAAGAGTTCCGCTAGGACATAGTGATTCTTGTGGATCAACATTGTGTAAATTTGTGGGTGGATCTGCCAAAATCCCCGTGTTTCCTTCGTGGTGGTGAATTACATCGCGCAACCCTGCGTGGCGATATACGGGGCAGTTTTGTCTGCTCGGAAATACATCCGTCCGTTTTCGTGACAACCATGCCAACTTTTGCCAACTTTTGGGGGGAAGATCAACAATGGAACTTGGGGCTTGGTTAAGCACGCCCAGCAGAGACCTTTCGTCGGCCGATCGATTTGGCTTCGAGGGGTTCAAGCCTTTGCTTGTTTCTATTCTTTATTGTTGAGGCTTTCGAGACTCCAGGCGTTTGCGCCTTCGCACCTGTGATGCGCCTTCGCATCTTTTCGCTGGCTTGGGGGTTCACCTTTCTCAAGCGCATCATCACCCGAGTGCCTGAAGATTCAGTGCATCAAAGAGGACACCGCATGTGAGGGAAAATGCGGCTTCAATGATAGAAGGAACACCTTTGATGCAAAAGCACTCCCCTTTCAATGTTTGGAAAGACCGGTTTCAGAGGCAAAGACAACCCGTGGAACCGCTTGAACTCAACGCCTTCCATGCCTTCAGGTTTTCTCAAAGTAGTCGCTACGGCATTTTGGTTTTCCCTTTAAATACCAACCAACACGGGGGGGGGCTTTTCCAAAACTGGGATTCACGGGGGGGGCTTTTCCAAAACTGGGATTGTTCCTAGCGGCCACCCGCATCAGCTATCAATCAGGGGCTCCTCACTCCCTGAGTTCCTTTCACTGTTGTCGCCGCAAAAAAAAGGCTATGGGTCAAAATCCCGTACCCTCAGTGAACATCCCAATCCCCACTAAAATAGACTAAGATGGATTGTGCACCTACCCAACATGGTACCATTGGTTTTGACCCGCAGCCAAATCCACCGACGCATCTCCTTCGCGTCGGGATCGCGCGCTGGCCCTCCCCAAGGCCTGCCTGGGCGCTGCGCAGCCGGTGCAAGACGAGGGTCCCGCCTGCAGCGTGCGCGCCGTGCAGGCGGAGGCAGTCCGCCTTTGCCGGCCGGTACTTCCATTTGGTGAAATGAAGATCTGGTATTTGTTATGTTGGTTTTAAAGGGAATCGATTTCACTACGGGAAGTATGTGTTTTTTGCCCAGGGGACTTAAGCAAATGGAGAGGTATCGTTGGAATTTGGTCGGCGGGGGGAAGTTTTGGGCGGCAACAAAAGACATGGCGGTGGGGGGGGACCGCTTGAAGATGAGACAAAACAGGTCCTTAGTTGCAACCACAGCCAATCGACCGGATCTGACCTTGTGAAGTTTTCCCACATTTGGGTTTCCCATTTTTAGTAGGGGTGCCAAAAGTTTATCACCTTTATTTTCCAGTTCCTTGGGGCAAGTGAGTGTCTGAAGTGCATGCCCATCCTTGAGTTGCACATTCTTGTACCCAAAACGAGCAAATTGGAATGTACAGAGGGTTGCAGCTTTAGATCGGACACCACAGTGGGCTAAGATCACTCAAGTAAAATCGTGTTTCTTTCCTGGCAAACCACACAGACAACGACTAAGTTTCCGGTTTGTGCTTTGGGGGACGCTAAATGCAACACGGACGAGGCTTCATCGTATGGAACATGGCCCCTTTTGGACCCGTAAGACTGACGCCGTGTTTCTGGTTCAGTGAAGCGGCGACGAAGCCAAAAGCGGTTCGGACCTTGAGGGAGCGAAGCAGCGTGGCAGTTTCTTCACGACTTGAGATTTGTGTAGGGCTTCTGTCCATGGTACCTGCATCGTTGTGTAGCTGCAGAGGCGTTCCTCAGATGTTCTTGAACTCAATGGCAGTCCTCACATGTTCCAAAGCCAACAGGGACCCCAGGCAACCTCAAACTACGCTGGCAAAACCTAGGAACCGCTTTTCAGGCAAGGGGTGACCAGATCACGGCTGCACCACGCTGGAAGGAAGATCCTGCACGACTCGCCCAAGCTTTGTGCCTGAGGGGCGATAGCCATTGGCTTCTGCAGAGCTTTGGAGAAGATTGGGACCTTTGCAAAGCGGAAGCCAGTTTTTTTGGTTTTTCGCCAAGGGCAATTTTGGACATTTGTTTGTCGTATAATACGACTCGTATTTGTTGCCCCCAAAATTGTCCAAATACGAGAAAAAGGACTTTTGTCCCAAGTGTTCAAGCCGTCTTCTTTCTCCCTTTTTTGTTTTGTGTGGGGAACCCACAGCTTTTTTTGTTTGGTTTCCCACGAACATTGTTGTTTTGTTTGGTTCCCCACAAGAGCCTTTCCGAATTCCACCTTTCGGGGCAAGTCAGAGTTGACCAAAGCCATTTGCTCGATGTGCGATCCCAGCGGGATAAGATATAAAACGTCAAATTGGAAATGCCATGCAAGGCGGCGGCAAAGGCGCATGACTTAGGTCTGCCCGGGCGTGGTCCGCATGGACGTTTGCAGTTTGCAGCATAGAGCGCAAGCCTGATGATGAGTCTTAGAGCGTCAAAAGAGTTGACAAAAGCCATCAAACGCCATGAACAGCAGCCAGCCTTTTGGGGGCAGTTCTTCAAGGGGTATGCGTAGGAGCTTATCTGGGGGAGGCTGTAAAAGGAGTCGGGTATGTACAGATATGGGTGTGTTATTTTTTTCGGGACCCACATAGTGATATTCCTTTTGGTTTCCCATTCAAACCACAAAAACAAGGGTACCAACTCCAAAAAAGACGCCACCCCATGGGTGTTTCTCGAAATTGGGGTCCTCTAGAGATGTTTTTTCCTTTTTGATTTCCCCATTAAAAAAAAAAAGTCCTGGAAAGCGGGTGGGGTCAGGCTTTTCAAATAATGAGAAAGCGGCATTCGCACGCCTTCCGTGGCCTCGGGGCTGAGGAATTCCGAGAGCCTGGGCTTTGTGAAGTACTGCGGCTGGGTGCCATACCTTCGGCCCATGAACACGCCGGAGCTCGAGTACAGGCGGAGCTCCGCCGCCCGGGCGGAAGCGTTCTCTTGTTTTTTTGTTGAGCTCAAAGCCGGTGGAGCTCGTGGACTTGAGCGTCCACTTTTTGGGTTTGGACCATAGCGGCGAGCAACAAAGTTGTAATTACTGATTGGGGCCAGCACCCTTTGTTCATGTTCAGGTATGGGTTTTGGACAATTGGATGCTTATATATCACCAAAATAAGCTTGACGGGCAGTACGCAAGTGGCCAATTTGAGGTTGCGAGAGCAGCTTGACTTGAATCAGAGCAACTGGATGGCGTAGAACTGTTTTGAAGTAGATGGATGGCGTAGAAACGGTTGGCCTTTGATGGGAGGGCTTTGATGTTTTGGTAAGAGCGCAATGCGAGCGGCAAGAGCCAAGATAGAGCTGTTTGACACACTGTTTTAATTTGGGAACCTATCATTCAACTCTCAGGATATTTGGTGTACTTTCTGGATGATCTTCTTCTGGCTCTACCCCCATTTGAGGTCTCAAGAGCCGAGATTTGGACAATTAATTGGAGTCCAGAGCTCGTGAAACACGAGTTTGGTTGTTCCACAAGCAGCTTTCAAGCTCTGATTTGCTCAGTTTGCTCCAGTTTATGTCAGCTGCAATTCACCAGCCTCGAGCTTCACAGAACGACTCGAAGGCTTGAAACCTTAACCTATGGTCACTTCTTCGCCTCAAAACGCCACCCCCCCGAGGGCACTTCCGCCCGCCTCAAAACCCCCCCCCCCCCCGGCCCCCCCGTGCAATAGCTTGGACCTCGCGCGCCAGGAACGACACCTTCTGCCCCCGGCAGTCTGCCACCTCCGCGTGCGGCGAGTGCCTCACACGGGAGGACTGCGTGGCGAGGCGGGACGTAGAGACCCTCGTGGCCGTGGAGCGCGCCGATCGACGTTTCGACGTGTCCGGGCGCGAGGGCAGGGCAGTTTTTGTGTTGGACTTGGTGAGGGTTTCCGAGCTTTTTTATTTCCTTGACGGAGCCACCAGACATGTTTGAAGCGTCAGGGTTTCCGAGCCATGCCCCTTGATGTTACATTACCCTCCAAAAGTCGCGATCGTTTTAGTGGAAGCCACCAGTAAATGCTAGGTCCCCCAGTAGTGCCCTTTTGCCCTTTTTTGGGGGAGGGTTCCCCTACTAAAATAGGCTACAGAAAAAGGTTGGTAGCCTTATTCTAATCTCTCTACGAGGACCTAGATTGGATCAACTGACTTTGGGAAGTCCAGAGACCCCGGTTGTCGGGGTGCTGGCCAAAGACTCGCTCAGATCCGAAATTTTGTGCATGAACCGCCTCTCTCGGCAAGGGCCTGGTTTGATCCTGGTGGTTTTTCCCAGCTGTGCTCCTTCCTCACATTTCTTTCTGTTGGTTGACTCGGCTGTTCAAAGGTAATCCTTAATCCTTAATCCTTACCTTACGCAAGGAACCGGTCCCCTTTGTAGTGCCTTCCCTATAGGGATTATGGATTAGGATTCGCCAAGCCTCCAATTTGAGCAGCCCAGGTTCATGTGAGCAGTACCCTTCGAGTCAGCTTGAAATGACGTTCCTTTTGTTGAGCTGTTTCATGGGACCGAGGAACCCTGTCAGGTTTCCAAATCTTGATGCTAGCTTGGGTGTGTGTGTGTGTGTGCGTGTGATTTGGGTGAAATGGTTGGCCCAATTACTTGCGCCAAACCACCAAGGAGCAAGGCGCCTCATGGCTGGTTGGGGCCAATTTTGCACATCCAGCAGCTGTCTCGGTGGTGGGTGAAGCTTCCAGGTGAAATTTTCGCAAGGTGCACTGTGGTTGGTCTGAAGGGAACTGGGTGTGTCTTTTTTGAGGGTACCCCTTTTGCTTGGATTGAAAGGGAAACCACAAGGAAAACCGTTGCGCCATTTTGGGGTCCCGGTCCGATTCCTTAAGCAGAAACACTCCGAAATCAGCTGGACACCGCACCACTTGGTGGTTCCCAGCCGCCGGTGAGCTTCAGCTTTGAATTGCTTTAGTGGTCGGGTGTCCGAAGTTAGCCCAGTAATCTAGGGGACACTTCCCCATTCTTTCCATGCTTCTTTCCAGAAAACCATCAGAACCCCAGGGGAAACAGCCGGTTTTTAAAAGGTAACGATGGTTTAAAAGAATGGAAAAGGAATCAACCCCTAGAATTCTACTTCCATTTGCCGACTTTTGTGGGGAAGATCGACAATGGAACTCGGGGCTTGGTCAAGCGTGCCCGTCCAGCAGAGGCCTTTCGATGCAGGCAACCCATTAAAACAATGGGGGGTCATATAATACCATTGTTTTGCTAAGGATTGTCATCATCCGAATTGGGTCAACCTTTCTTTTCAGGGCAAGGAACCCTAGGGTTTTAGCAATCGATCCGAGGGCCCGGACAGCGATTCCCAGACCGCAAACCTCTCCCGCGAGGTGCGACCTTTGCAGCAACTGCACCGCAGTGCTCTACCGCCCGCAGGATGCCGTGAGGCCCAAAGCGCGGGTTTTCCATGCCACGCACTGCACCAAAAGAAAAACACCGGAGGATCAGCCATGTGCATAAGAATACTTCCATTTGCTTAAGAATATTTGAAAACAAATATCCCCTGTTGGTTTGAAAGGGAATCTATCACTACTGGAAGTATGTGTTGCTTCAATTTTTCTAGGGGTCTTAACCAAATGGAAGAATATGGTTGCTTTTCCCTTTGTGATGTGTTTCCACTACATGGAAATATGTGTTGCTTAAGAATATGGTTGCTTAAGAATCTGTGACGTGGAAATGTGTGTTTCCAGAGTGGCCCCTATCTTTGTGGGGCATCAGCACTTTTGGAGGGACACCACCCCCGTATTAAGCTAGGGGTCTACAACCTTGGCCAACTTTACTTAGCAAGAGGTTAGCAACAATAGTTATAACCTACTTGGGGACTTACAAGCATGCTAAATGGTTTTCGTCACCAATTGCTTTCTAGGCACCCGGCCCCTTCAGTATAGGCATCCTTTCGGAATGGAGGACACTGGCCAAAATGAGATGGGAAAGCCGAAAGTGCATTTGTGTTCAAGCAAAAAGTGACCCAAAAGTACATCTAGGTTGCCCAGTATTGCTCTTTTACCCATTTTGGGGGGGAGGTTCCCCGACTAAAAAAGACTACAGAAAAAAGTTGGTACCCTAATTCTAGCCTCTCTACCGGAGGACCTAGACATGACGTTCTCGGCCTTGTGTGACTGGGACATGAAGATTCAGCGCTCGCTTGTGTCAAAAAAGCGCTCGAGGTGCTACATGCAGAGAGGGATCCATTCAGCCGCTTTCGAGAACCTTGGCAGCACTGCCCCATGTGGGGGAAAAAAGACGCTGTTTTGAGCAAACATCCCAGTGGTATTGCTGGTGCACTTGGGTGTTTGTGTGTGTGTGTGTGTCTGTGTCTGTGTCTGTGTCTGTGTCTGTGTCTGTGTCTGTGTCTGTGTCTGTGTCTGTGTCTGTGTCTGTGTCTGTGTCTGTGTCTGTGTCTGTGTCTGTGTCTGTGTCTGTGTCTGTGTCTGTGTCTGTGTCTGTGTCTGTTTGTAAGGTCATCCCGTGTGGGTAGTTTTAAAGTTTTAAAGGGCAACCAAGGGAACAGCTTACCATGTTTGGGGTGCCGATTTTGAGACAAGCCCACTTTGTCGCGGGAAGAGCCTGCGTGCAATAATATGGTTTGGCAAAAGCTCATTTGCTTAATGGGAACGCCGACTTAATACACCTTTGGCTGATTAATAGGGGGTGTGTCCTTTTAGTGGGAATCCTCACTTTTGATACTGCTGGGGCCAAGACCTCAGTGTTTTAAACGACGGGTTTGTGGGAATCAAGAAAAGCCCGATTGTCGGCAGTTGGACTTGGTCGCCCATTTGGCCCATCCCAAAGAGACTCGAGCAAAGCCCAAAATACCCCAATCGCAATTGAGAAGGTTTTCTACTGTCTGGCTATATCAGGGTTACGAGGCCTATGTCCTTTTGGTTTCTCCTCACCAAAAGGGGGGAGGCGGATATATTTTTTGAGAAGCACCAGAATGGGTGTCTGTTTCTTTCAGTGGGTGTCTGTTTCTTTCAGGGTTGTGGGATCAAGGGGTTGCTCCCCACTTCTGTGATACAAGGGAATCCCCCTTTACATGAAGAAAATAGTCTTTGGGAAGCCCTTTCTGTATCACAGAAGTGGGTTCCATTCCCCAAACAGCCTGGTTTCTTTCAGGGTGCTTTTGGTGGGTTTCAAGGGCAGCCGGGAATTTTTGCGGGCTCCCTTTGGGTTTTGACCCTTTTCTCTGCGGCTCTGAGGGACCAGCCGCCGCCAGCGTCGGGCTGGGGCTTTTACGCTACTCGACGGAGCTGGTCACGGGTTGAGATCTGTTCGTCGGCCAAGGTGCGTTTTGGAGCCAAGGAAGGCAGGTTTGGGGTTGGAGCATCGGGGTCCTGCTTGAGTCTGCTTTTTGGAGTGGAAAGGCCTTTCGGGGGGCCTTGCGACGCTTGAACTTTCCCGCTTTCTACATGAGCCACGTGCTCAAAACGTGGGTAGATGAAGGTAAGGGCGATCCCAATAAATAGCTGCGGCCGCCTTCTTAGTTCTTTACATGGTTCTGGGTGCACCATTTTTGTACCGGGTTTTGATTATGACTCACATGTCCGGCATGTTTGGATGCATCGAACATTTCGCCGAGACAGGAAAGGAAGTCTCTTAAGACAACTCTCCGGATGGCCTCACACCGAGCTCGGGTCAGTGGAATTTCCCAGCGAAACGAGCTGGACGGTGCGGGCATTGATTTCAGCTAGGTGTTGGAACTGGGCCCACTGGTGTTTGCTTTGCAATGGCTTTTCTTTACTTGCGGCCCAGACAGGACATGTACTTTTAGGGCTCAAGCATCGTCACTTGCAGATCTGCGACGATTTTATCAAGGCACAGCTAGGCAACCGTTTTTTGTTTTCTTCTCGGAGTGCACTCCATTCGGAAGTGTGTAATGTTGTGTGTTCCATTTTCCATGTGGATCAGTGGATCACCGTGAAGCCAAGTTGCCACCATGGAAAGCAGTATTTCCACAGATATGCTTAATCCAAGTTGTGATTTGCGAGTTGGATCGAATATATTTGCGAAAAGACTATGTTGCTGGTGCTCAGTAGGGAATGTGGGAAGGAACCTGGAGATTCCCTAAAAGGAAACCACAAGGGATGATTTCTCTCGGGGTCATTCCATTTCTCATTCCCTGCCTATCGAACCAGCAACCTATGCCGATGTCCATCAGTGACCTGCGTAGCAGGGTGTTCGCTATGGAGTGGGATAAGTCCAAGGGCCAAAGAAAAGCGTCGCAATGCAAAGTTTATGAGAGGCAGGGCCGAAAGATGAAAGAGGCAAAGGTAATACTTGAGGAGCGAAATTAATTCCGCAACCATCCACAGTATGTCATATTCCACGTGGTAGTAAGGATCCTTAATTATCATAATCACTCCTACGGGAACCATGACCGTAGGACAAACAAACGGAGTTTTGAGCATGGCTCATATGTCATATCTTGTCCAGGATTTCGCAACCATCCACAGTATCAGAATGATGGGTTTTGTGTTAGTTTTCCGTTAAAATCGCCAAAAAAGGGGGGTACCAACTCCAAAGAGAGGAGCCGCCCAAATTAGCCTTATCCACCTTGGTGGTTGCCAGCCATCCGGTTCCTTAGCTTTTGAGACTCTTAGTTGCTTTAGTGGTCGGGTTTGCGAATTTCACCCATTAAAAGTTAGTTTCACTTATAGGGAGAGCCGAGCCACAGGGTCTTTGGGACAGGGTCAACGAGCAAAAGGTCGATCACCTTTGCAGGTTTTATGAAAAAAGCCATGTGGGGGTGTCTTTTTCTGGAGTTGGTACATTTTTTGTTCCGGTTTAAAGCAAAGCGCAAAAGGACAACAATAAATTTGACTTTCCAACCTCCGCGGAGTTTGTTTTTGTTTTGTTTGCCCCCCTACCGAGGTCAACGAGCGCAATGTGGGGTGCGGCGGCCAGGTGGACTTGCTGGCCGCGCGAGGCCGGGGGATTGAAGCGGAGATCAGACCCAATGTCCCATGGGTATGGGCCAAAGTTCCACCAGCGAGGAATCAGGAGCCACTGGTTTTAGTCCATGTGTCCATTTGCCAGGGCAAGCCATTTTGGGCACCTATTTGTGACTGCCATTCTTGCGTCCAGCTGCTGACATGAATCTGTTTTAGCTGTTCCCCTTGCTGGTTTTAAAGGGAATCGATTTCACTGCTATGTCATTTTGTGAGGTGGCTTGAGGCTTAAGCAAATGGAAGTGTGGGTTTCACTGTTAGTGGGTCAAATTCGGGAGCCTAAAAACTAAACCAACTAAAAGTCTAAAAAGCTAAGGAACCGGATGGGAACCACCAAGGATGATGATTGCGACATCCGCAAATCTCGGATCACTTTGAATGAAACCATGGGAATAACACCATAACGAATTTCTTGGCATTTACGTTGGGAATCGGTTTACCACAACAAAATCGCATTTACGTTGGGGAATCAACTCATTCCAGGGCTTCTGAACGGTGGTGTTCATCAACAGTATTTCCCATGTTTGGACCAAAGTGGCATCCACTCGAGTGGACAATTTGTTGGAACCCATACGGGTCAACCAATCAGTCAATTCCGGTTTCATGGGGTTTGTAGAAAGTTCCATAGAAACTTCCCCAGAATTGGTTCCCCCCCTTTTACTTTTTTGCTTTTTGGGGTCCCCTTTGTTTGCCACTAACCAGGCATTTTTTTTTTTTGCTGGGGTCCTAATTCCAGCCTAGTAAACATGTATGACAACATTGGGATAGTGCTGAGTGCCCCAGATGATTTGCCTCGGTTCCCCTTGAAAAGAGCCCAAGGGGACTCTGATGCGAAGGCACTCTGAGCAATGTTTTGCATGTTGAGGTTCGCTATGGGCCAGAATCAAAAATCTTAGCTCTGGGGGAGCAAGAACTAGAAGGATGGATGCGAAATGTGCTCACTTGCCCAAAGCGGATCGACCGGATCTGACCTTTTGGTTTTCCCATGTTGTCACCTTTTTTTTGGTAGAGGTGCCAGAAGGTTCACCTTTTTCCAGGTCCTTTGGGCAAGTGAGTATTGGGGGATGGCAACCCTCAGTGAATCCTGAAGCACTATTACTATTCATCCCTTCAATCCTCAAGCCGGCTCATTTGGAGTCGGCCAAAAATCCTCGATGCTTGGCAATCGGGATTGGAATGAATACCTTCTTTCATCCCAGCATGCTTTGTGCTGAGCCGGTTGTTGCGACAAACGCCTCCTCCTTCGAGCAGTTGATGGGTGGCGTGCCTGACCACCCCGTATTATTCAGTTGTTCAAAGCCGACCCTTTGGTTGACCTTTTAGTGCTGGGTCCTTTGGGCAAGTGAGATTAGGATGATCTCGCACTTCTAATGGTTGCAGACGTCTTTTCGGTTCGGACACCAAATGGAATGCATGTTTTGGGGTCCGATTCTTTGCGAGACACTCCTCCCGGTTGTGCGTTGTGAGGCTGTGCTCTTGTTTAGGTTGGTTACGGAATACAAGAAGGCAAAATGCAGGGTCACCCATTTGGGTATCTGTCAATAATAGTTCAATATGGGGGATTCGTTTGGTTTCTCCCTAGGTCCCCCAATAGTGCCCTTTTACCTTTTTTTTGGGGGAAAGGTTCCCCTACTAAAATATACCACAGAAACAAGGGTACCCTTATTCCAACCTCTGTACTGGAGGACCTAGGAATTGAAGCCATTAAAAGTTAGTTTCACTTATAGGGAGAGCCGAGCCACAGGGTCTTTGGGACAGGGTCAACGAGCAAAAGGTCGGTCAACTTGGTTTTTGTTTCTTCGTTTGGTTTCCCCCTAGGTCCCCTAGTAGTGCCCTTTTAACCTCTCTACTGGAGGACCTAGTCCCCGTTAAACCCACCTTGAACAGGGCACCCTTGCAAAAAATCCACGCACCCACTCGCAGGTTTTCTATCTCAACCCACCGCCGTCTCCGATCTCTTCTCACGGCTGAGCTGAGGCGTGCAGGGCGTGAGGCTCTTTGCGGACCTGGGCTGCAGCAGCGAGTTGCAGCCCGAGAAGGCGACCGAGCTGCACTCAGAGTCTGAGGAGCATAGCTTCCATTTGGTGAAGCATATGCTTTTCATTTGTTATTTTCCCATGTTGGCTTTAAAGGGAATCTATCACTACTGGCAGTATTTGTATTTTTTCCAGGGGACACTTAAGCAAATCGAGGTTTGGGGGTTCGTTTGGTTGGACATAGATGGGTTCCACCGGTTTAGATTGGGTTTTTGTTCTTATGCCCCATATGGATATGTTTCCAGAAGGTCGCCCGCGCTGAGTCCAAGAGAGTGTGTCTCTACCCTGGGGTTCCTTGACCCCATGAAAAGAATGGCAACGACTCAATTTGGATGATGAAACAATGGCTGTGGCTCAAATTAATGTAACAAAATGGCATAAAATGGCAAATGGAACCAAAGACAAGAACCTGCGGTTTGCCCCAGCTCTTTCATTTTGAGCCACACCCAATTAATGGTGGCTATAGTACCCTTTGCTTTAGTTGTGGCTTGCACCCAAGAGTCTAAGCGAACTCCCACGGGTGGTTTCCTTTTGGTTTCCTTGAAAAGATCGACCCACACAGGGTACCCATGCCAAAAAGGAAGTTCTCACAATATGGGATGTTCATGAAAGTAGATGGCACATGTGCAAAATATGTGTGTTTCATCACGCCCCTTACCAACAGAAAGAGAATCGTGCCATCTACTTTTACCCAACTGTAAACAAATGTTGAAATCACCCCCGGTTCTCAATGCTTTTGTGTTCCCCCTTATGCCAAAAAAGGATGCCCCGAGAGTGGTTTCTTTTTTCCTTTTCGGAAAGACGACAAACCGAACCGCGCGGTGCGCCCGCGGCCGCGCGCGCGCGCGCTGAGCGCTGCAGCTCTTCGTGATGGACGGCTCGGGCCTCGCGGAGTTGAAGGGCGCCTGGCTGCCCCGCTGCGCCGAGCTCGGCCGCTGCGACGCCGGAGGTGCGAGACGAGTCGAAGCGAAGCGCGCAGTGGGAGGAGTGGGGAGGGGGATTCAAACCCTTGCCACGTCTAAAGCGATTTGGTAGTCTCATTTCTTGAGGTCATGGACTTGATGGTCACTTTTTGGGTTTGGACCAGCTCGCTGGCAAAGCCGAAGTTCGGACTGTTTGGGGAGTCCAATCAGGAAGTCAGTCCCAACCAGAAAAATGGGCGCGGATATCCGCCTTGGTAACACTTTGGTTTTGGGTACGCCAGTTTGGTACCAGGTTTTGATTATGACTCACCCGAGGCCTTTTGTGACAAGGAATATGGGTGGGGTCTGCCTTACAGGGAAGACGCGAACCTGAAAGGGATTGTGATGGGAAGAATCAGAAGCGTTTGTAGGCCGTCAAAGCGGGGTCACTTTCCGAGCAATTTTTTTTCTTGTGGTGCAAAGAAGTCTGGACTTTTCCTGCCCAATCTGAGGCAGGAAATTGGGGCAAAGCCCGAGGCTTTTCCGGTTTCGTGCCGCCTTTAAAGGGGGGCTTGTCACAGGAAATGTTGAGCTCAAAATTACTTTCGGCCTAGACACTATATACACGATATACATATATAAGAGAATATACCTACACTCTGCATGACCACTAAAACATGGGGTCATTGCCCAAACTAAAGGGGTCATGGACCTATTTGCAAAGAGTCATGGAGACTAGGTACGCATCTGCACAAGAGAATCCCTTCCAGCCACCTCTCCCTGAGTCGCTCTCAGGCGTGAGCATCATTGCCAGCTTCGCAACACCCCAAGTGGTGCGCTGCATCACGGTGCAGGCGGTTGGTGAAGCCAAGGTGAAGTCGTCCGTTGGCAAGAGCTTCTTCAATTTCTTAAGAACTGTTTTTTCCCCTCTTGGTTTAAAGGGAATCTATCACTACTGGAACAAGTTGTTTTTTGTCCTCCAGGGGACTTAAGTTTATGGAAGACTTGCTTGCAAGATCTTCAAAGTTAATTCCAACCCCAGGTGGTTGATTTCCATTTGGTGTTCTTTTTTCCCCAACAGCTGAAAGCTTTGGGGTCTCAGCCAAGATAGGCTCCGGGATGGTCCGGGGCGGCCCTGAGGTAAGGTTCCAAGGGTTCCACCAGGGTTCCACCAGGGTTCCACGAGGTTCTGCGAGGGCTTCCCATTTGTGCACCCATTTTTAGTAGAGGTGCCAACAGGTGATCACCTGCTATTTCCAGGTTCTTGGGCAAGTGAGTTAGGGTGTCTTGCAGAACGGCAGCAATTTGATCTATACGCATCGCGCTTGGGTTCATCAGAGAAGAAGTGGCTAGCCGGGCGGTTCTGGCTTCTTGCATGGCAACAAAAGCGCCCAGGTCGAACCCGAGCACAAATCTGTGACACACAACTCTGTTTCATCCACCAAAATTAGCGATTAAGACCTTGGCTGGTCTTTGGTAGACCTGGACACAACTTTCCATTAAACCTACAAAATGTCATACCCTCTATACCCTAAGGGCTCTGATGGACTTTCTCAAAACATATCCTTTTGGCATCCCTTTGAGCAACTCGGGGTGTGGTACGGCGACCAGGTCCCAGGTTCTGCATACCAAGCCCTGATCAGAGCCTTTTTGGTAGATTGACGCATCATTCCCCACCAAACATACTGAAAGGAAACTAAAGGAAACCAGAGGAAACTAAGGAACATCAAAGGAAGTCACACAGAAAACTAAGAAAATCAAAGGAAATCAAAGGAAACCACAGGAAACTGAGGAAAATTAAAAGAAATTACACAGGAAACTAAGGAAAATCAAACGAAACCAGAGGAAACTAAGGAACATCCAAGGAAACACATAAGGGAAACCAAAGAAAATTCAAAGGGTCCTTGGAGTAGCGTGGAGTTGCACGGAGCCGCCAGGCCCAGGCGACGGTCCTGGCGAGCGGCTGGCGGCTCTCGAAGAATTCTGCCGCCCTGTCAGGCGGGCTTCCGCATCGGTTTGGGTGCTAGGCCGCTAGGCTATAGCCCAAATTCTTCGAATTTACCCAAAGGGAAACCAAGCCAGCGGGAAAATAGAACGAAAGTAGTCGGAGGGTGCTGGAGGGGATTTGTGCTTTATGTGGTTTTTCCAGACCCTCTAGCACCCAGTTCTTTAGCAAGCCTACTTGGTAGGTTTCGGACATGTGATCCGAACCCAGGATGAAGGTTAGGGCGCTTTTTCATTTCAGGCGTTGATTCTGGCTCAAGAGGGCATAAAAAGTGTCGAACGGAGCATTCAGATGCTGAGGCCAGTTGTGGAATGTCCATTCCTTGCGACGTGCTAGGCAAACAGCAACACGCACATGTAGCAGTTGGCCTTGTTCCTGTCTCATCCTAGTAGAACCAACAATCATCAGGTTTTGGGCGCTGCTCGCTTGCATGCATTTACAAGTGGTGGCTGATTCTACGGCGGCCCCGAGTGTAACCATATGTTTGCTTGCAAGACGCCCGGTAGCATCAATTTACATACATCAAATGTGCGTGTATGGGCGAGTGTCGAAGGGAGTTGGACCAAAAGCCTGGTGGGTATCCTTTGGGTTTCCTTTGAGTGGCGTGAGTCAGGGATTGGGTTTCTACTTTCCACCATCTCCAAAAAAAGTGCTCAGGCCGAAGCACTCCAAGGGATTTTCCTGTAAGGGAATTCCCAAACAGGTTGTTCCCTCCTTCTTGATTCCGGCCGCAGAAATACGCGTTGTCAGCCCCAATTGGTGAAGCAAAGACAACTGACTTGGTTTGGTGATGTTGGCTAATGGGGGCTGTCTGAAGATTGATTTTGAGAAGCTATTTGGTCAGCAGCTAGTGGACGTTATGTTGGTGTTCTAGTTGTTTTAACAATGGATACTAATAACGCTGAGACAATATACATAAAAATAAAAACATGTACACACTATATTATTTCTGCATTCTCCAGCCCTTCTTGTTCCACTTACATTTCCATGTTCCTATCCTCTTACGCGTGTGTCGCAGAAATCTTCGCTCGAGGCCTGCGGAGCCTCACGGAGGCGACCTGGCTGGAGGTGGCGCGGTCCGGGGACGGCGCGGGCGTGCGCGCCAGCTGGGACGGGCTGATGGAGGCCCCGGTCCGCTGGTGCGGTGATCGAGGGTTCGTTAGATGAGGTAATCCTTGCTAGGTCCCCCAGGAGTGCCCTTTTACCTAGCTTTTTTGGGGGAGGGTTCCCTACTAAAATAGGCTACAGGAACAAGGGTACCCTTATTCTAATCTCTGTACTCGGCTAGATGAAGGTTAGTAAGGCGATGCCCCAGCCAGAAATAGTTGCGGCCGCCTTCTTAGTTCTTTACCTGGTTCTGGGACCATTTGAATACCGGGTGTTGATGACTCCGGCAACCCTTGGTGGGTGGTTTGGTGGTTTGGACGTGCAGTTCAACGGGCATAGAACCTGAACTCCAACAGGAAGTGAGGCGAAAGCGAGGCGGCAACCAAAAATGCGGCATCACCTTGGGTTAGTGTGAAGACCGAAATCCGTCCTTGGGGATCCCTATTTGCGTGCGTGCTTCTGTTGGGAACTGGGGAATCCCTTTTCACTGATCAAAGGGTGTGCCCTGGACAACCGTAGCAAGGCGCAAAGAAAGCCTGTGGGAAAACAAATCTGGGATTGTTTTGTTTTCGTTTTCGCGGCTCGGTTCCCTTTTTGGGGTGGTTTACAGGGAAACCAAAAAGAGAACCAGAGTTTCACCCAGGTCTGGGTTCTTGGGTTTGGATCACCCAACTTGGTTGACCCCTTGGTTTCATGGAAAGCAACGGGGGAACCGACATCTATTCTTGGTAATCCATGGTTTGTGACCTTTTGTTGGGAACCAACCCTTTTCACCCATGAAAGGGTGTGCCCTTGACAAATGTTCAGGGGTGTACTCGATAGAAGGCCTTGCCACTTGGCCATGGTGGTCCGTTTTGGAGGCTCGGCCTGCTTGGGCTGGGTTTAACCATCGTGGTTGGGGTTATTCTTGGAGTCTTTTTTAGGGCACCCCAGAAAAAATAAAATAAAAAATAAAACATGTTCGTGGTTTCCCTTGTAACACCCCTCCCAAACCGGGTACCCCCCAAAAAGAACAACGACGAGCCGGGTCGCTTTTTTTCTTCTTCCGCGCAGGTGGAAGCAGACCTGAGGACTGGATACCTCGGATCCGGCGGCCATCCGGTCCCTTAGTTGTTGTTGTTTTTTTTTTTTTTTAATACTTATATATGTATAGTTTGTTTTTTTTGTTTTTTTTTCTCGGATTTCGCTTGGGGGGGTGAAGAAACCCCCAAGTGGCTTATCACTTAGGTCCCTTAGTGTTTTTTCTTCTTGTGTTTTTCCGGTCGGGGTGAGAACCGTCCTGTTGACAAGGCCCCAAACGTTCATTTCCATACTTCCTGGGAAAACGGTAACTGGGCAGTCCTCAGATCCCCTGCGAAAAAATGACTTGTAGCGGGTCAGATGGGACCCCCCCACTAAATCCCGAAAAAGAAAAGAAACACAAAGGAAGGCTAAAACCTCCCGCGGAACCGGATTGGAACCAAGGTAAGTGATAAGCCACTTGGAGGGTCCGTCTTCCAAAACCCTATCCACGTCCATGCTAGTTGGAAGGAGGGCTTAGTGTGTTGTGTTCTTTTCTAAAATTATGGTGACACGTGCGAGGTTGCATGATGTTCACTTGGGTTTGCCGTTGAGATGGTTTTTGTGCGCTGACTCGACCAGACTCCACGCAGGAGTTCCTTGTCATCGTGGGATGAAGAGCATCTAGGACAGGAGCACTCACAGGCCACCAAACGGTATTTTTGTTGAGGTGTGGCTCCTTTGTTTTCCCCAACAGCCTTTCAGATATGGGGTTCATAGGCCCAAATAGGTGATATGGGCGGGTGAATGGGGGGGGGGTCTTAGGGGAGGGTATTCCCCGACAGCTGGAAGCTTTGGGGTTGATATGCCCACATAAGCTTTGGGGTGATTTGGGGCAGTTTTCAGGGAGGGTTCTGGGGACTCGGTTGCAGAGGGTTCCGGGATATCACCTAGGTTTACGGAGTGGTAAGGGAAGCCAGAAGGAAAGCAACCTGTTTTTGTTGGAGCCCAGTCTTAAGACGCAGTGAAAGAGGATGGCATGTGGCGCACCCCAAACTAGCATGAGGATTTGGGGGGGGGGGGTTACTCACCAACATGCATGCCATTGGTGGACAGAGTGAATATCCGTGACTTGTTCATCTCGGCTTCTGGGTCTTGTGAAGCGATTAAGGCCCCTGCGTTTGGAAGCCGGATGGCCACAGCGGTCCAGAAAATCTGCACAGAACCTGACAGGGACCTGCGGAAGACCGAATTCTCCTCACACCTTGACTCCCCGACTCCTTGAGTTCCGGAACTCGGACGGGCTTGGACCATTTTGGTTATAAACAGAAGAAGTTCCAGGACTTGTTCTGGCCACTACACTCAGGAAGTGATTTCCTCAACTCTACCGAGACCCTTCAGACTCCATGTGTGTGTGTGTGTGCTTCCATATGCTTAATGTGTTATTTCCGCCTGTTGGGTTTAAAGGGAATCTATCACTACTGGAAATATGTGTATTGTTGTCAAACAGCTTAAGCAAATGGAAGTGTGTGTGTGTTTTGGGGAGGGTATCCCCGAACTTCCAGGAGCTCCCCCTGCCCTTGGTGGGCTCGTGACCGTCTTGCTCAGCATTTTCCTCCTCGCAGGCACATCGGGAGACGGACTGGGTCGAGAGGTTTCCTTTTGATCAACCCACACAGGCCAGGTGACCAGTAGTTGGTGGTTTGGATTGGTTTGAATTTGAACCCCTCCAAACCCCCAAAACCAATCACCAAGGCCTCAACCTGACTGCGGTGAGCACATCAGAACTGAATTGTTTGTCAACCACCGTCACGTCATTGGCATTTATGATCATTCACACCCACCCCGCAGCTGACCTGCGCTCTTATCGGCCGATGAGGATTGTATGTCTGAGAAGATTCCAAGGCGCTTCAAGAATGCATTTCATGTCAATGTACCAAGGTACAGAGCCTGCGCGTGTGTGTCTGACTGTCTGTGTGTCTCTCGTATGCGCGTGTGTATCTATGTGTCAGTGTGTTTGCAAGCCCCTTCAAAATCCGGGAACCAAACACTTTCTGTGCATGTCGTTCGCGTTGCACTACCAGCTCGAATCAAAGGCGAAAAAGTGGATGAATCTTTCCAGAATTCAAACATTAGGACCGTAGAAAGGCACAAACCCTTGGGTTTGCCGGCGCCTTCTGCAGGCTGCCTGCTGTGCTTCTTCTGCCGGCCGAAGCGGAGGTTCGCACGCGAGTCGCAGAGGCAGGGCATGCCTTGGAGTCGGAGGGAAAGTGACAACCTGCGGTTCTGAAGCGAAGCCAACCGCCTACCTCAAGTAGGTATATGTTGACAAACCTGATATTGGTATGAGAAATACATCCTTTGGAGTCAACATGATGCCCTTAGAACATTCCATTGTCCGATTGCCCCAGATGTTCTGAAGGCGAACCCTGAGCAAAGTCTTCTTTTGGGCCCAGAGTGAATGGTTTTGAAAGGAAGCCAAGATGAACCCCAGGTGAAAACAAATCCAGAAGATGAAAAACTAACTGAGTGGGGGCACTCTGATGCACCCCACCTCAAAAGCTTCAAGTTTTGAATGTCGGAGTATCGAGCGGTTTCATCCGACCTCAGAAGCAGAGGGTCCATCAGGCTGCCATTCGGCGTGGCGCCAGTGGTTTTGCCACCTCCGGAGGACTGAGAGATGCGGCGGGGATATGCTGTGCTGCCACCAAACGGTTTGAACATCCTTTTTGCAGGGGTCCGCAAAGGAACCAAAGGGAAGCCACCAAATCTTAGGGGCTCCAAATCCCTATGTTTGACAGGTCCATGGGCAAGGACTGAAAGAGATAGCGGAAACGGTCGAAAATCCAGACATCCAGAATTTCGGAAAACCCGGTTCCCCTGCAATCAGGAATAGCCAGCCCTAAGTAGGTGGACAGGATGCTTTCTAGTCTGGGCCTTATCTAGCAACCAGGCCAAATGCTCTAAGGCCACCATCTAGCCACCGTAAGGCGACCGCAAAGAGGATGCGATGGGGTCATGAGGGGCCAACCACAAGTTGCAACTAGCTACCAACCACCAAAAGCCACCGCAACCCACTTTGTTCAGTTGCACTATGTTTTCCTTGTTGCCCGGGATATCCGTGACTGGGCCGGGAGGAGACAAAGAACCCGCAGCCCTGGACATTTCCAAGCTCAACTCTTTGTAGGTATAGGTTTGAAAGGCAAACCAAAAGCATCACCCACCATTTTGGGGGAGGACACCCACCATTTTCGGAAGGCCCAATTTCCCCAAATGAGCCACAATCAAAACCGGGGTAGATGAAGGTTAGTAAGAGACGATCCCAGTCATAAATTGCTGCGGATATCCGCCTTCTGAATTCTTGAAGCATGGTTCTGGGTTCATTTTGGTACCGGGTTTTGAGCAAGTGACTCGAATGTCTGACGTCTCGCATAGTCTTCGAGCTCGCGAGCTCTCGAGCAAACGAGGAGGCCCTGAGCTTAGAGGAGATCCAGCTCCATCCCGCACACGCGGCCAAAGAGGAGGAGGCGGTGGTTTTTTTGGCTTGACGAGGGGTGGTTGGGGCAGCTGGCAGGGAGGGTTCTGGAGATTGAGGAGTTTTTTGTTTTAAATGTGTTGCTTTTTTTTTGGGGGGGGGGGAGGGAGGAGGAGGGTTCCCCAACAGCTTGCGGGTCCATAGGCCCAGAAATCGGGTGGTTTGGGGCAGCTGTCAGGGAGGGTGCGAAAGGAGATTCGGTTGCAGGAATTTCCGGCTGCTGTTGGGGACTGTTGCGAGCTACCTTGATGTGACGACCACTGCAGCAGATTCTAACCAGCCTTGCAAGCGCTCTTGCTTGAGTCCCCGAATTACGACAAGTTCAAAGCCCGAGTCGCAAGAAGGCGAAGAAAGAAGGCACGAAGAAAGGCAACTCGAAGGGCCGACGACAGCTCGATCCCAGCTGAAGAGTCGAGGTGACGAAGCACAGCTTTGGCAGGCCCTGACAAGCCCAAGCAGTTGTTTTCTCCTTTCAGAGATTTATGGGTATGGGTCAAAATTAAAATATCAGGCTAGCGCAGGCTTTAGTCCTTGGTTGTATTTACCAGGGTTCCCAAAATGGGAACCTATTTTTGACCCACAGCCATATTTGTTCAGAGACTAGCGACGATCAGGGGCCATCAAGGGCCATATGAGGCAAGAAAGGGCCACTGCCATGAACTTCCGAATCACAGCACCGAGGTCCGACCCAGGTAGCTCGAGGTGGATATGAAATTCGCGGGGGAACTTTCTAGAAAGCGGCTGCTGGATCTAACCCCCACCGAGTCCTGCTGTGCATTTGGTTCTGGGGCCCGGAGCAACCCCCTTGCCTTTTGGTGGTGTCGAACACCAGATTCTATGATCAAATGCTTACCTCTTAAAAACACAACTTTTCAACTTTTTGGGTAACATGGGCTATATGTCTGTAAAAGATTAACTTCCCCCGGGCTTGGAGTTTTAAGGGGTAAGAATGTGTTTGACGGGAACAGGTCTCATGAACCACCAGAAAGAATGAATGGGGCGTTCCGGGCCCCAGGAAAGGGTCCAACCACTGCAAATTCATATCCCCAGTTTTTTAAATATGGAATTGGGGGAGGGGGGTGACCCCTGGAATTCCATTTCCATTTCCTTTGTAAGGGGAAGACTAGAAAACTGGAATTGGGGACCCCCCCACCCCCCTCTTTTTTTCTGGTACGGTGATTTCATACCCAAGTGGGTACCCTCGTTCGACAACATGCCTGCAAGGCGGCGACCATGACGTACTTGACATCGGAGGCGCCGCATTTCATGGCTGTGCTTGTCTCACCGGGCACAACGACCACCTGACTCAGTTTCATATCGCTGTGTCTTTTGAGGGTATCCTTTTTGGGGTGGATTTAAAGGGACACCAAAAGCAAATCTACCATTTTGGGGGGTCCCCAGTTTGTAAGAGACACCGGTCATTTATAGTTGCGTTGAATTGGGGCACCCACCTCCTGCCGCTTCCCACGCGTCTCGAGAGTTTTTTGGTTACCCAGTGCTTCCAGTTCCCACGATAGTAGGTATTACATGATGGCTGGCTTTTTTGGGTACCTCCTGCTGAAAGTACTGGGTGAGATAGAGCCTTGACACTGCAAAGTGCTCAGCGCGGATTTTCAAAGGCGTGAAACGAGCATGCACCCCCAGTAAGCGTCAAGCCCTTCAACATCCGCAAACTCTTTGATCGACCATATGAGGCAGCTCGGAAACTGTTTGATTGTTCTTGGCAACACTCAAGTTCCGCCGCGTGGGTTTGGGCAAGAGATGTGCTTGCTTAAGCACCGGGACCATGGTCCCATTTGGAGGTGTTGAAGCAATACTGGCTTGAATCATCACCTTTTTTTGATGGATATTCAATGATCGACCCCGGGTCAAGCATTTGTGAGAACATGGCTTCTTTGAAACGGGAGGCTCGCCAACCCATCCAACCCCGTGTGGCTGTGTCACATGGAGACCTTCAAAACAGTGCATTCCCAGCAACCCCCTCAGGCGTTTACGGTTGCGACGTCTAAATATGTGGGCCGGGCCAGGGCTTCAGGGCTGGGAGGTAGTGTAAGACATCTGTTTAAATCGGGCATTGAAAGTGGTTGGCCGGGCAACCCTCACAGGCCCTGGAGGTAGTATGAAATATTAATTGGGATATTTGAATGGCAACACCGAGACAGACCCCTTCCCCGTAAACACAGGGCGTAACACAATTCAAGCCCTTGCTAGCAGCTGCGTTGCGCTAGCTCCTGCCAAGCCAGGTCAGATTGCACCACAAGGGTCCAGCCTAAGGCGCCATGTCGGTGCAACACCCATGCCTGCAATTGCGGACCAATGCTTCCGTAACTCCATGCGACATAAACGCCTGGAATTGCGGAGCTAAGTGCGCTGGATTGAGCTGCCTAAGCCTTGTCTACGTGGCTCGTGGAGAAAGAAAGCAAGAAAGACATGAATGTCTCCCAGATTTCCTTGAATTCTTGAAACTCCTGGCCTCTTGGGATGGGACCTTTTTTCAACCCAGAATGAATAGAATTGGAGAGAGGAAAGAGAAGCAAGAGAGAGAAAGAGAGAGAGAAAATGCATGGATCTAGGCATTGAGCCCTGCGTCAGGCCTGTTTCAGACCTGTTTCAGACCCCTGCAAAAGGACCATCTCATATTCGCAAAATCCTGCTCCGAATCCCTAGCACCAGTATAGCGGTGTGGTGAAAGCAAGAAAGATACGAACAGATGTCCTTAAAACCTTGAATCTCTTGGTTTCTTCGGACGGGGCCTGTTTTTTCAACAGACCCCAGAACAACCGCACGGTTGCGGAAGATGTAATTGGCAACACACAGCAAGCAAATTGACAAGAACGACATGGGCCTCCAGATTGAAGTGGGCCGTTCAACATTTCGAAGGGGCCAGTGTAAAATCTTTGTTGACCTATTTAAGTGTCCGGGTGTTTAAGTGGCGACACCGTAGCGTTTTCGTTGATTCAGTGGTCCACACCACCTACAAGTTGTCGACCATGTTTAGCCTTGAAAATTCGCCAACTTCACACTCGAAGCGCAGGCCTTGGAACGCGTACAAGAGCTTCTGGACTTCACCTTTCGCACCAGGCGAGTCATCGAGCATACGCCTCGTAGGTGAGAAGCGCCATAGCGAGTCCGAAAGGCTTCCTGGCCCCAGTAGCCCCCTTTTACCCTTTTTGGGGGGAGAGTTCCCGTACTAAACGACTACAGCAAAAAGTTGGTGCCGCACCCTCATTCTAAGCTCTGACCTAGGAACGACCCCGAGAAAAACCAAAGCCCGGAAGGTCATTCCGTACCTATGGCAGGTTACCCATTTCAGCCACGTCCTCCAAGCCAGCGACTGACATGACGAGTTGAGGGATACGCCCTAGGAACACCCTGTGCGTTTCGGGATAACAACCAAGCCACGGTCCAATCAAAACCCGGGAACTCGAAGGCACAGTTTTCACCAGACAAGCGTCGCTTTCGCCGCCTTACTCTTTACATGGTTTTGGGCTCATTGTGGAACCAAGTTGTGTCGGTTGCTCTGGCTTAGTAACCTTTACAACCATGTTAGTCCCCAACCACAAAGGCACAACCATATATTTTTAAGGGGCACCCGGGCATTGATCTCCGGCAGGTCGCCCGAAGGTCGTCAAGTGCCTTGGATCGGGCAGCAATCACTTATCCTAAGTTGTTTCCATTTGGTTAAGAGGGTGTTTTTATTTTCCCCTCTGGGGACGGCTGCTTTGACCCGCCCACCATCCGCATGTCAACCAGACGGGGGCTGGAATGTTGGTACTCCTTTGGCGGTGTAAAGTTCTCCGGAACAGTCAACCTGGGCCAAGATTCCGTTTTCGGTTGCCGCGAAGTAGACTGAAATGCAGACATGGGTCCCCATTTCCAGGATTCCCTGAAAGGAAGCCACAAGATGGTTCCCGGGTCATTCCCTGATTCCACGGAACCTGCAAGAAAGAGTGGAGCGACCTTCCGCGCACGGACCTCGCGTGACAGGATCGTCCTTTAGGAAAAACCGAGCCGTGCGCGATGGATGGTGGATGGCTGGATGGATGATGGGTGGATGGAGGTGGATGGGTGGATGGGTGGATGGTGGATGGATGAATGGATGCATGGGTGGATGGGTGGGTGGGCGGATGGATGGATGATGGACAGATGGATGGACAGATGGACGGATGGACGGATGGATGGATGGATGGATGGACGGAGGGAGTGGGATCTGGATGGATGGAAGGCATGGACGGTATGTTCGTTGCACAGAAGTTCTTGACGCCGGCGATGCAGGGGCGCAGAAGATCATTGCAGCAACTGCTGCGGTGGTCGGCGACACTTATTTCAAGCTGCCCCTAGATCCCCATCTGTCGGCGACAGCGGAGATCAGGCTGAAGTTTACCTAGCTTTTGCAGCGGAGATGTCACAATACCTTAGAACCCTATATCTAAGACCTTGATGCTGCTAAACGAGATGAGTGTCATGAGTAGCAGGACGAACATCCACAGGTCAATCCAATCAAAAGCACATAACTTATTGAATTGCTTGGTACTGCTCCGAAGCTTTGACCCTGCTCCGCGTGGGAGAAGCAATCCAATCACAAGCACACAATTTATTGAATTGCTTGGCACTGCTCCGAAGCTGTGGGTATCCCAATCCAGCAAAGATACCAGTTGCTAGAATATAATATACATTGTCTAACGATTCTTTCCCCCGTCATGGCAAGTCTCTAACGCGACAACCGAATCATTTATACAATATTTCAGCCACACTCTCTGACGTGACATCCAAATCCGACATAAAATATCAGTATCAATTGATTGGACGGTTTTCTGGCTGTAGTTGTGGGACGAACATCCAAAGGTCAATCCAATTAAAAGCACAACATGCACACCAAATCCGACACATCATGTTCGGTAAGACTTCAGATTCGTGCCTCTAGCAACAGCGCATATATTTTTTTGCATTGCTTGGTACTGCTCCGAAGCTGTTGCTCGTTCTGTCACAATAGCTCAGAATCCTATGTCTAATGTCATTTGTCACCTTGATACTGCTGAACGAGATGCTGCTAAACGAGATGAGTATCATGATATGATGATCATGAGATAATGATGTAGAGAATGATGTCACCACCCTTCCCGTGCGCCCCGCCGTTGGGACAAGGGGTCAGCGGACACCCAAAAAGAGGGTCCAATGTGAAAGACATATTATGTGCATATATATATATATATGTACATATGGGCTGAAAAAAATACCCCGCGCCTTTTCGTTATGTAAGGGGCCGTCCCTTAACTTGTTTCGCAGGCCAAAACCATTGCAAACCGATACAGAGGAAGAAAAACCGATACCCACAGAAGCCATGAAGACACACATCAGGTCCAAGTTGTCGTCGCAAGCCAAGATCGCGGAGTCATAAATTTGCAGGGCCCAAACCGATACCCAAACCGATACCCAACCGATACCCAACTCAGTGGCCGCCACGCCGAATCCAACCAGCTGCCCTGCAGCCTTCCCTGGAGCTGCCAAAATGCACTTTGTGTACCACATTTGTACTGAAAATCTTACTTCCACTGAAAAGCTGCGATTTTCGAGCCGGAGCTGCCAAAGTCTACTGCGCATGCTACTGAAAAGTTGACTTTCCAGCTGGAGCTGCCAAAATGTACTTTGCGTACTACACTTGTACTGAAAAGTTGCGACTTTCCAGCTGGAGCTGGAAGCTGGCAGAGTGTACTTCGCAGACTACACTTGCACGGAAAGTCACGACTTTCGAGCTAGAGCTGCCAAAACACTGCAGACCGATGCAGAGGAAAAAAACCGATACTGACCGATACTAGGGCATAAGGATACAAGGGTTGTCCACGGGGTTTGTTTTTTCAACCCATATGTATGTACAGTAATAATGAGTATCATACACTACTTCCAAGGACTATAAGCTCTAATCCACATCTAATAATACGTTACATCGTGTTCCTATATATATATATACACCATCTAGAGATGGTTTCCTTCGGGAGTGTTCGCTGAGGACAGCCTCGTGGCCCTGCAGGCCCGCTGCGCAGTGCGTGTCCAAGGCAAGGAAAAGGCCTATGCTCCTTGGCGACGTCAAGTTCTGTGTGGCTCAACTAAGTGCCCCAGCTAGGTGCCCTTTCTCACCTTTTTTTTGGGGGGGAGGGGAGGGTTCCCCTTCTAAAACAGACTACAAAAAAAAGTTGGTACCCTTATTCTAACCTCTCGATTGGAGGACCTACTCAAAGTTTGTTCAGAGCTAGGCTTTCCGCAGGTTTTGGTTTGAATATATACTCTAAATGGGTGTGGCTCAAAGTCTTTTTCAGAGCCAGGCTTGTCCATTTACCAAGGGGCGATTTAGGGTATTATCTTTTTGGGCAAACTGTGGTTGTGTTGTATTAAAGGGGACGCGCCAAAGTAGTGCTTTGGCTTGTGGTCTTCCTTTGGAACTCTCAAAAAAGACACACCCGTGTGTGTGTGTGTGCGTTGAGGGTTGTGTTTAAGGGCAAGGACAAGGAAACCACGCATTTTGGGGTTCCTAGTTTAACCATACGAGATTCTGTCGAACTTACCTGAATTTCCAACAACAAGGGGACGAATTCTAATTGTGTCCTTGTCCTGTTCGGGAAACAAGTGATTTGCCCGTGGCTCAAATGAGCCATGAGCAAACGGACGTGCGATTACAAGAGAGTCGGTTTTGGGTGGGCAATGTCCTATCCGTGTTGCAGGTTGGTGGGTATCGGTGTTTCCCATTTGGGAGGGACCGTGGGGAGTTCTTCCTTGGACTGAGCAGCATGGGAATCGCGCCATGGCATGCGCCCAGGTTCAAAGGCGAAGCAAGATCAGCCGAGTCTTGGCTTAGAAAATGCGCAAAGCAGGTTTCTTTTGGTTTGCCCCATCCCTTTCTTTGTGGCGAGTTGGTCCATTTAACAAGAGTTCCCAGGAAGGTTTTGTGGGGAACTCGAACTCCCGGTTTTGGGGTTTGGGCCATGGTGGAAAAGAACACGTTGAGACTTTGGCCAATCGGGTCCCAAAATCTATAGAACGCTGGAGCATCACTTTTCAGCCCCTAAAGGAGTCGTGGAAGGCTTGGGTAGCTGAAGGGCTGTTGGGGAAAAACACATCAGTCATCACCTGGCCGTGGACTTCTCCTTCTCCGCTCCCAACCCCTCCAACCCCTCCTCCCAAGCTCCCCCCAATTAACCCGCCCAGGTGAAACGAAAAGCCATGCGAGTTGAGAGCCTTTTTCTCTTTCGCGAGGAGATCTGAAGCCCTTGCCAGATCCCTGGATAGCACTGGCGGTGGCCAAGTACCCGGCACTGGAGGAGGCCTCTAAGCTTACATCAGTTGGCTTCACTGTTGGTGGATTAGTATCTTTTTGTTTCAGTGTTTTGCTTTTTCCGCGGTGTTGGTGGATCATGTGCTTTTGGTTTTGTTTTGTTGTTTGATTTTGGTGTTTGGTTGTCTGCTCATTTTTAGGGGTTGTTGTATCATGTTGTGTTTTTTTGTTTAATGGTTTTGAGCTGTTGTTAGGTGTTCTGTTCATTGTTCGGTGCTGGCCTTTTTTTGGGGGGGGGGGGGATGTTAATTGTTCGTCTTTGTTGGGTTTTCTGCTCTTTTTTAGTTGGCTGCCATTGCTTAGCTCACATACCCTTTGGGTTTGGGGTTTCTTGGGGAACCCCTCCTCTCTCCCCGGAAAGGTCTGAGGGGGGTCGATTTTTGGCGCTTGGCGCTTGGAGGCTGGGGTTCGGAGGCTTCCGAAAGGGTTCCTTTCCTTCACTCTTCTTGGATCATGTTTTTTGTTTTTTAGTCTTCCGGTTCTGTTCTGGGGGATAATCTTCAGTTTGATCTCTGGTTCTTTAGTTTAACTCAGATGGGTGTTGCCAGGTCCTAGTGAAACTTCAGCCGGAGAAGAACGAGGTGTACCTCTGGTGCCTTGGATCGAAGGCAGAAGTCCACGAGGTGAGTGGCAACTGAAAGTGGCCATCAAACGGCTTCCCTTCTGTTTGGGCCTATCCTCTCAAGCGTACAAAGGTGGGACCAGTCTCGTCCCTTCCAGGGGTTCCTTACAGTTTTGATTTCTTGCTCCCCCAACTCAAAGCTATGGGGTCGACAAGGGGTGGTTTGGGCAGCTTTTAGGGAGGGTTCCGGAGGCGAGACATCACCTGGGCTCCTCTCTCTTCTTTTTTTTGGGGGGGGTTGGTCCAGGTATCAGGGAGGGGAGCCGAGATGCCGGCCAATTGTTCAGAGAGATTGCCGAGGTTCCAATAGCCCCAAGAAACAGTTTCCATAAGTTTCCTTGTTTGCTTTTTCCCCCTGCCACGGCCATCCACGGCCTCCCCTCAAAATTTGGGTAGATGAAGGTTAGGGAAATTGTTTTAGTCATACATGGGGGCCCGCCTTGGCCGCCTTTTTTCATTGGGACCATTTGGGTGTGGCTTAAAATTTGAGAGCTGGTTTTAGTTTCCATTTACCTTCTTGGCCATGTTGGGTACATTTGTTTGAGCCACAGCCAATGTAACACAGCGCTCGCTTTTCATCTCAAGTGAAGTGGGGCATCCATCCGCACATCCGGCGAGGCACGGGACCTCGATCCGAAAGGCCCTGGCAATGTGCCAGACAGGACCGGATCGGATGCCTCGGGCGCTTGGGCCAAATGAATTTCTGAGAGGCCTGCTGATGTTCATACCCCTCTCCCCAAAAGGGGTACCCCTTGTAAAAAAAAAAAAGCAAAAAAAAACACACATGAGTTGGAAACCAGGGAAGCCAAGGGGTATGAACAAGTGGCATCCAAAAGTTTCGAGACCCTTGCCAGTTCCCATAGTCACAAGACGGTTTTAGATCCATCATGGATTCCACTACCCCCACTGCGGCGAGGCTTAATTCTTATAGCCCTGAGTGGCTATATAGTGGTTGCATGTCACTGTATATCCTATTAACCCCCTGGGCGTGGTGGACACACTTTCATAATTCAGTCTCTCAGATTTGTAACGTAGAATGAACCACTGAGAGTGGACACTTTCCTCTTGGCAAGCACCGTCATCCATGGGCTATCGGGATACTTCGCAGATCCCTGCCAGAATCATTGCCTTTCATTGGAAGGGATACGTTTCTCCATTTGCTTAAGAATATTTTTGTTTTTCCTTGTTGGTCTTAAAAGGAATTCATCACTACTGGAAATATCATATGTTTTCCCCTGGGGCCTTAACCAAATGGAAGTGTTTCTTGTAAAAGCAATGAGAAAGCAAGCATGCGAGCCAGGACCGGGCAGGACGCAGCATCTTGGCATCAATGAGCGGAGCTTGAATGTGCTTCTCCACCGAGTCCACATTAGTTGTGATCAGGGACAACATTGACATGACTGTGACGATCCTTAGGGCACAAAGGCGATAAGCTACGATACATCGGTTGTTTGGTTTCGTGTGATATCTAGGTGTTTTGCGCCTTGTTTTATGTCGGCGTGTTGTGCTTTGGTGTTGTTTCTGGTTGTTTGTGTTTGGGTTGTTTGTTGGTTGGTTTTGGTTTGGTTTGGTTTGTGTTGTGTTGTGCTGTGCCGTGTTGTGTCGTTTGTGTGATTGCTTTGATTGTTTGTTTCTGGTTTTACTGCTGAAGACTCCCTGCCCTGCCTGCGTGCGGGTGTCGGCTTGGCGAAGAACATGGTGCAAATCAGCAACAGCTTTGGCGCACATATCCTGCGGATGTCATTAACTTGCCGACCTTGAAATTCCCTGCAACCCCCCATTCCCTGAAACCCCCAATCACCCTTGGATGTGCAGGCCACTAGGCTTTTTGGGTTGCATAGCCTTTTGGGCCGAGGCTAAACATAGGTACTGTTTGCGTCCAGGGGCCAAGGTTTTCAGCAGCAAGTCCCTGCCAGCATTGAATTGCGGCCTGCTGTTCATGTCAAAGCCACCTGTACGTGCACCGGGATCGCCATGACTTTTGCTGCATGCTATTGGAGCTCTTTGGGTGTGGTAGGTCTTCTTAAACTGCCGACAAGCGCAACAGGCCGCAGTCATTTCTAAGAACCTCTTTTTGAGGCCATTGTCCGATGAACGGACACATTATCGGACGCGATGACGTGCCTGGAAGATTCCGTGGCGAATTTTGTCACCAGCGAAGTTTGGTCAGTCTGTGGAGTCTGTGGATATAAAGTTTCTAAATTTCAACTACTCCCAGACGAGCAAAACACATTTTCCCACGTCCTCTTGGGGCTCGGAAAGCGTTCCGAGGACGGCTCTCCACTTCTTTGAGAGCAGTGCGCAGGCGCGCCGGTGGCGACAGCCAAAATATGAGCCACGCCCAAGATTTGTCAGGTGGATGAAGAAGGGAAAGTCCCGAGTCCCAACCATCCCTTACTTTCTACCTGATTAGTTTGCATGGTGAAGGCATGTTCCATGGTTTGCGGCACTTTCCAGGTGGTGAGTGTGACTTACTTGTCTCGGTGCCAACCGCGTGAAGCAAACCGAGATGTGCAAGATGTGTCATGTCCGTAAGAACATGTAGCCGCCGACTTCAGTAAGCTTCCGCACATTGGCCTTTTGGGGTGAACGTCGTTTATCGGAATTCGACTCCGCGCAGCACTGCATTTTTTTTTGGCGGATGTCACGGGTTTCCGCGCGTTGCATTGCCAGACCTTTGCTTTTGGTGAACTCTTCATGTCCCGTTTCAACCAACAAACCCGACGTTGCGCACCATGCGAAAAGCAAACAGCGCAAACGTTCAGGAATCAATCGGCACCGGGTTACTTCGGGGAGCCATGGCGTTAGTCCTTGGTCCACTTTGTTGCCACTAATCGCCATAATAGTCACTAGGAGTACTTAATAGTCACCATCACTCACTAATATTTTTTTGGGTGTACTAATATTCACGTTTTGTCACCAATAGTCAATAGTTCCTATTTAAATGATTTGCACATTAAGCGCGGACAGCGCTCTCGGCGCCCGGCCGGGGGAAGGGCCGACTGATCCGACTCTGTCTGAGGACAGCGAGTGGTAGGGTTAGGCTGTAGGGTTATTTTTGGCTTTAGGTTTAACAGGGCTCCTTAAAATATACATTTTGCAACCATTTGAAACATGTTGCTTTTTCCACCAAAATAAAGGGACACCACCATTTACAAGGCAATCTTCAGGTGTATAATCTAAGGATCCATGTTTAAGTTCCAGGCGGACTCCGTTCGCGCGCTGATTGTCTTCCTGTTGAATATCACAACGTCCCTATAGCTTAATGGCCAGTGTACTCTGAGGTTTCGTTTTGTTCCCCAAGCCTTCTAACTTGAGGCTTAAGGAATGGGAAAGTGTGACGGCCCCGGAGTCGTGTTTGCCACTTCTCTCTCGTCTCCCAGTCTTTCCATTATAGATTCTCCGGCTTGTCTCTCTGCGTCTCCCAGTCTCTCGGCCACACAACCTCTATCTTGTGCCCAATTTCAACGGAGCAGGCAGAAAGATTGAGCAACCAACCCATACTCAGAAGTTCAGCCTAGGACCTCAAGTCCGTGTACCGCCGCCCGTCGCAAGCAAATGGGTGCCACTTGCAGCCCCTCACCTCCCACCCCTTCTATGCCTTGAGCCCTTTCCTGCCCTCGTCCAACCTTAAACATCGTCCTGCACCCTTGCGCCCCTGGCAGTAGTAAATGTGATTGTTACAGAGATGCATGTTTGCCCACCGCCAAGTAAGACGAACAGAAAGGGAGATCAGCGGTGCAGTCAATCTTGAGAATTTAGTGAGGGATGAACGGACGATCAGACACATGAGATAGCAAAAGGAAAAATGATATTAAAACCGCAAAAATAAGTGAAGACTGGGAATGTTGTCTATCCCTGGAGCTGCAGCTCCAGCGCGCGATGCCTGCCGGCCAGGAAGATCTAGTCCAAGCCGGTGGCGTGGAAGGCCACCGGCGGGGACCCAGCCCAGCCGGCTGTCGGGACGACGCGCGGCACTCGACGTTCAGCGCGTGCTGTGTCATGGGCGGCCTGACAGCTGTCCACCGCGGTGGAAGGAGCGCCAGGGCGATGTCCTTGTGTCCATCCCCGCGACCGTCAGCTTTTGGGAGAGGTGTCGGGACGGGGCGGTCCGCGCGGCGCGTCGCTGAATGGCAGGCAGGTTGGGGACTTCCCCATGCTCACTGCCACCTCCAAAAACAGCAGGAACAGCCATGTGGCTGGCAACTTGGTCCCAGCAACCGTTGTGCTGGCTTGCATGGCCAAGCGAGCCGCTGCTAGGGGCCCAAAAGAACTGCTTCCAAGAAGCTTTGTGAGTCTGTCCTGACTAAACAACTCCCATCAGCCGAAATGTTGGTCAATCGCGCCAACGCCAATGAAGGTCCGCACATCATCCACTGCCACCCTAACCATACCTTCCACGCCATGCGGGTCTACCTTGTGCTAGCGCCCATTCACGCGTCCACCCTCGCGCTTTCTTTTTCTACTGCCGTTTGTCTGCCCTTGCAGCCTTCTTCCTTGTCTAGTGACTCTGCTTGTTACAGAGACGCATGTCCCCCCAGCGCGACTCAAGACGAACATAAAGCGTCGCTCAGCCGGGCCAGCCCCAGGAGCACATAGAGGAGCCTGCCAAAACCAGGAAGTGTAAAATCATTTGACGATATTGTTTGTTGAAATTTCCGGTCGAAAACATAGTAGAGCTCACGCGTTGTAAATAAATATACATACAAAGCCCTGGGTCCTCCGTCTCCGGGTTATTTCTCTGTTTTCCCGTTCTCCGGGTTATTTCCAGGAGACCCTCTGAAAACCAGAAGTTTCAGGTGTTTCAAACGCATGAATCAAACGGCAGGAGTGGCTTGCAAAAGGCAGGAAAAAACTCAAAACTAGGAGTGGTACTTGGGGAAACAATTCGAAGCAAGTCTTGTTGTCTTTTTTCGTTGCTTGGGCCCGCAATTGCACAACTCTGTACACTATCCCAGCAATTATGCAACTCTGGGCGCTTGAGTGGCCCACTGATTTTATTACGCACTCTCCCGAAATTCCGTTTTTTAAATTTGAGGGAGTTTGCGGGCTTTTTGCGGGTGTTTTACGCTGAGTTTTAGGTGTGGTGCTTTCCGGTTTTGCCAATTTGTCGCCCAAAGGAAATAGTTCCGAATTCAGAATTCTGAATAGGTGAAATCTGATTCAGGTGAACGATTCGGACTCAGAATATTTCCGAATTGGAGGGTTCCGTCCGTCAAGTACCACAAAATTGCGATTTTCAGGGGTTGCAGGCGTGCAAGCCATTGCCAGCAGTGGCAATCAATTTCTAGGAGTTTTACCTCAAAAACCAGGAGATTGAAAACTTCGTGCCTTTTCACTGAGACCACCAAAAAGCTGATGGTCTCCTCTTTATATTTTGCCCCTCTGGGCTGCCACGGCTCCCATTGCTAGCTGGCTCTGATTCAGTGCGCTGGTGATCCCTTTGCTTGGCATTTCATGGCCCCGTTTTGCACGAACGCAAAGGTTCCGCTTAAGAAAGCCATGGCCAAGACCCACACAGTCCGCTACTGATTCAGAGCCAAAGCAAGGGGAGCCGTCGCAACTCCAACAGTGACGTGGCGATTAGGACGATGAAGGGCCATAAACACCCACTCCTTTGGTTCCCAGCCTCCCCCTTAACCTTTTGGTTTGGTTGGATTTTCCATGTAACCCACAAGCTCAGCTGTTAGCAGGGGGTCTGAAACCGGACCGCCCCCAAGAAGTTTTCGCCGTGCAGCCCCTCGCGAGGCCCATGAGGTCACCAGCCCGGAGGTAGGGCATTACAGCGCTGTGCGAGCGCTGGTGCTTTGCCACTTGGCGAGGTTCTCATGCAACGGGATCGCGGCCGTCGGCGATTTTCTTCTGGGGGGCCTCCTTAATGATGTTCTTTTTTTATGGATCAGGAATCTGAGAACTGCAAGGTTCTCTGCTTTATTTTTCCGGTGGTGTTAAACATCGTTTGCGGGTTGGGCCACCTGAGCCGGGGTCTCCTTCATTTGTTCCTCTTTTTTTTGGGGGGGGGTACCCTGTTTCGGTGGTTTTAAAAATGCCACAAGTTTGGGGGCTTCCCTAAAAGACACGCAAATGGGGTTCTTTGCTATACGGGCTAGAAATCTGAGAATAGCAAGGTTCTCAGCATCCAGGAGGGAGTTAGTTTCAATACAGGGGGGCCTGTATCTGGACGACTCCTGCCCTCCTCCCTGCACAGGAGGGTTTTGGAAGACCGACATCATATTAGCAACAGTCAATCTTCAACAGAAAACCACATTGATTTGAGTCCCCCTAGCTGGACACACCCATGCCAAAAAAGTATCCGCTGTGTAATGGGAAGAGGGTAGCTTATTTGTGAAGAAGGAGGGGACGTCAAACGCTAAAACGGTCAAACGCTCAAAAACTGATTCGCCACCCAGGCCGGGTTTGCCTTGGCAGGTTCTACTACACCACTGCGCCTTGGCAGCCTGAAGAGTTCTCCGAAAATAGTTTCAGTTTCGTGCAAGTCGCTGTGGGTCAAGAATAGGTACCCCAAATGGCTTGCCCTGGTAAACGGAACCAAGGACTAAAACCTGCGGTACGCGTGTGGTTCAATTTTGACCCACACCCAAATACTCAAAGTGTTTTGATCTTTGTGCTGTATTTCTGTGTGCATGAGCGAGCAGCTGCTCTGACCACGAAGCCAAAAGGATGCGAAGTGGATCAAACATCCATTGTTGGTTTCCGAAGTGAGCTTCTTTTGGGCGAAGCGGTGCTTGTTGATGCATGAAGGGGCGCACACATTTGTGTCTAGATGTATTTGCATATACTATACACTGTTTGTATAGTTAGCTGCAAGTTGTCAAAGTAAGGTTTCTGTTTGAGCTTCTTGGGCTTCTGTTGTCTTGGACTCCTTCCCCACCCCCCCACCCCACCCCCCGTCCGCCGGCGGGACCCGCCTGCGCCGGCGTCAGACGGACGGCTCCACGGAGCGGCGCGATGGCTTCGACAGTTTGCTGGTGGATGCCGCGCGGCAAAATTTGGGTGGAAGACGACCTGAGCGAAATGGCTGTGGTTGTCAAAACCAATGGGATGCCATTTTGGGGTCGGTGCACCACCCATTTTAGAACCTATTTTAGTGGGGATTGGGATGTTCACTGGGGGTACGGGATTTTGACCCATGGCCAAATGGTTGGTCTTGGCGTGGTTCCCTTGCATCATGGACCCCTATGGGCTGGGGGAAAAAGGAGCGAAATGGTTGGTTTTAGGGAGTTCCCTTTTGCATCATGGACTAAGGGGAGCTGGGGGGGGGGTTATCCCTGGATGAGCCTAGCAGAAGCTAAGGATAAGGCCTGAATCATTCAGGCCTTCTTAAGTACGGGGGTAATAAGGGATAACCGCCCCCTCCGCATAGCCGCCCCGTCAGGGGTCCATGAATTGCACCGAAATCATCTCTACAGTTGTGGTAAAACATGACGAACATTCCAATCACGAACCCTTTCGGGTCCAAAAGACGGCCAGGGTCTTTAAAGGCGTCCCTATTGTTGGCAACCGACTTGCAGGGAACACAAGATAAACCAACCGATATGGTGAGTAACAATGAGTTTGCACATGGACCCAACAAGAGTGGATTTCCCTCCCGATTGGCAACTCATTTTCCAACAGCACATCTACATAAGGTAACTCTCATGAAGCGTTCCACTTTGTCAGGTAGCCCTAGGCTTGTTTCACCCGCGTGGTGGCTTGGTTTGGAGTCGTGATTGGGGGGGGGGGGTTGAGCTTCTGGCAATTTGGGGGCCACCTCCTGCCCTCTCCACCGATCCAAACCACCAGTGACCAGCTGGCTGAATTTGGAGGGCTCCTAGAGAGTTCAGCATCAGACCTTTGGATAAATGAAGGTCCGATTCAGACGTTCCCCAGTTGAGACGTGCCCCCAAGTTCACGAGTTGAGGTGGTGTCTTGTGTCTTTTGGTGCGCAGGTTCTTCTCCCTTGTTCCCACAAGCGGTACCTTGGTAGACTAGGTCCCCCAGCTAGGTGCCCTTTCTCACCCCCTTTTTCGGTTGGGAGGGTTCCCCTACTACAATAGACAAGACCGAAAAACAGTTGGGTACCAACTTATCCCAACCTCTCCATCGTGGACCACGGCAATCTTTGGCCTTGAATCGTGTTTTCGGGACTTGGGACTTTCCAAGGCCGGCCGAAGCCAGGACCTAGTAGAAGTGAGGGATCCCAATGGGCAAATCAACCCATGGGTTTGAGTCTGCAGGACTCTTAAATCGAGGCTCTGGGAAGGCTTGGAAGCTCCAACCAGCAATCCTGTACAGTTTGGATGTCTGCTCTTTGCCAAAGTGTTGTGGGAAGAATGGATTTCTGGGAGACTGCGCATTCAGCACTTAGGGAGACTGTTGTGGGATTTCTGTTGTGGGATTTCTGCGCATTCAGGGAGACTTGCGGGAGTTCTGGGTGTACGACGCGGACCAGGCAGACCTGCAGTGAGTTGCCCTACGCGAATCGACAGGATCTGACCTGACCTTTTGGTTTTCCCATTGTGGCAGCCATTTTTGGTACAGTTGCCAAAAGGTGTGATCCCTTTTATTTCCAAGCCCCTAGGGAAGAGGTGTAGTGTGGGATTTGCACATGATGTCCGACATGATTTGCATTTGCTTCTTGTTTTCCTTAACAGGTCATGACAATGAGAAGATAGTTGGGCCTGCTGACTGTGATCAGTACCGATGATCCCACAACGCGATTGCAGGTTTCCATGGCCCCGGCTATGACAATTCAACGCTTGGAACCATCTCATGGTGGACATGAACCTTCCCATGGTATTCCTCATCATGTCCAACCACTGGGTCTCTTAAGGGCAAAGGTCACGGGTCAAGGACGCCGGCGTTCAGAATTCCCTACATATCTTGTATCTAAACGCTCAGCCCCCCCAACGACTGCTTTTCCCATGTCCAACCCCAAACATGTTTTTGTTGGGCACTTGGGACCTTGAATTCTCAGGTAGCCGTCGGTGCGTTGGATCCAGTAAAGTGACATCCTCACAACAACAGCCAAAGGGCGAAGAGGGTTCCAGTTCCCCCGGTTCGCGCGGCCCCTGAAAATACCTGGTAGATGTTGCAACATGTTACTATAGGTCTGGTACGATGCCTTGCCTGTTTGATGTCGTCAGATGATCATGCGACCCACTCTCAGGTGAACCCCGAGCTCTTGGTGCTCTATTCCCCGCTCCAGCGCGAGGACGCAGAGATGGGATGTATTTGAGCGTGGCCATAGCGCAGGGGTCCCCATATTCTGGGCTGGAAAAAGGCAATCCTTTAATCCTCACCTTGCGTTTCGAAGATCCGAGCGAATAGCCATAAAGCAAAATAGGACGTAAAGATGTCAAGGGTTTGTGGCCACAAGGTCGCGTCCAAGTGCCAAGAAACTCCGACTCATTCGCTTCCAGGAGATGGATCGGGCGCTTGGCGCGTTCCGCCTGGAGATGCCCATCTACTGGGCCAACCAAAGTCTCGAGGCCGGAGGTCGCGAGGTCGTGGTCTCGCGACCGGTTTCGATGGCTGCGATTTGAGTCCGAAATTTCTAAAGTGCAACGAGGCCACCTCGAAGCGAAATTTCTTCGAGCGATCCAGCGAGATTTGCGAAACGAGCTTGAAGTTGCCGCCGATCCAATTCTGTAGATGAGGTTTTGGAACAATAAGCCAAACAAAAATGATTGAGACAAACAAAGGTGAAGTGTTGGCATCTGACCTGCACAGAGGAAAACAGGCGGGGACTGATGTTCAGGCCGCTAAGGCAAGTCGCAGACTTGCCTGGTTGACGCGGCACCCGGCGGCTTCCCTTCACAGGATCGTTGTCCAAACCAGGACCTCCCAGGGTTCCATGTTCGACCTGGATAGGGTATTGGCCCATCAAAGTTCGTCACGGTGGTTGCAAGGCGGTATTTTTTAAGTTAGTCAGCCAGGGCAATTCGCCAACCTGTCCTTTGAGGTTAGGGATGGTCATCTAAGTCAGCATTTCCCGAGCGCCGATGTTGCAAGTTTTTCTTTTTTTTCTCCGACTGGTTGCACAACGAAACACATGCAAGCCCTCCACTGTCAACACTGAGGTTCCCAAAAATATGGGCACCACGTCAACGAGTTGTCCATGACGCTTAGCGTAAGCTCGTCTCGGATTTCGAGGATACCTTCCACGCGCTGCACGTCTGCGACCGCCGGACGCTGCAGCGCCTCGCGGGCAGGTGGGCAGAAGTCAGGGGAAGCTGAGTTGCCGAAAATACGGTTCCAAGTTGGGTGATTTTGAACATCACCATTTGGGCCAATTTAAGTTGCGTGTTCTTTGGTAGAGGTCATGGTTTAAGGGAATTTATTGGGACCACTTTTCTACTGCGTGGTTCATGAGGCTCATAGCAATTGCAGGGCTGAAGGTCAGAGTGAGGGCGTGATAGTGCTGCAGTTCAAGCGAACATTCAGTTGGCTTGCGGCCAAATGATGTTCAATCGTCATGCTTTTCAGAATCCATCCTTTTCTCCAGGGTTTTTGGGCCATTTTCGGACTCGCTACGGGATGGCACGGTAGATCGCGTGGACCGACTGCCAGAACGACTACAGTGCTGTGCCTGCCCAATCGCTTGAAGTATTCTTGGTTTGCCGTTGAAGCGATGTTGATCACTGAGTACACAGGGCACGTCAAGAAAGCTGGTAAGAATGACAGGAGAGTTTCCACCTGCTGGCTACTTTGTACAGGCACATCATCGCCAAAGCCAGGCCACAGCCTAAGCCGGGAGAAGCAGACCGGGTCTCAACTGGGAAAGCACATCCACATGCTGCGAATCGACCGGATCTGATGCTCTGACTTTTTGGTTTTCCCATTTTGGCACCCATTTTTGGTAGAGGTGCCAAAAGGTGATCATCTTTCAGTTTTCCGTGCTTCAACCTGGGTTCATGGGGATTATAGGGGCCCCCTCAAACCTTCATAAGCATGTTGGTAGAAGCAGCAGTCAATGTGTTTTGGTCGCTGCCCATATGACGATCAATTATAGTTGGGAGGTTTAGGGTCATTGTTTGTGATACCGTTTTTTTTTTGCTCCAAACTGATTAGTGTGGCATCACAGAAAGAATTATATCCCACAGCCATGTGGGGAGGGGGGAGCACCCCAACTCCATGTCGCAAAAGGGGGAAACCATAAATGGAGATCTCCAGGGCCCGTGGGATGGGGAAAAAGCACAACAGTGTCATTCTGAGAATGCACCTCTCATATGACCCCACACTCCAGCAGAAAAAAATGGGCGACTCGTTTTGAGCTCGCGCAAGCCTTGCAGGGAGATGACTTTGGCTGCACGGGCCGAGGATTGCCAACTTTTGCCTGGAACTGGCTGATTTTGTGCTCCCTGAATTGGGCTTATCTCTTAGCGGACTCGCAATAAGTGTGGTTTCCTTTTTCAACCCCCAACAGAGTTACATGGGTGCGTCTCTTTTAGCGGACCCACCGCCCCCCCAAATGGTGGTTTTCCTTTTGGTGTTGTTCTAATTTTCAACCAACAAAAACAGTTTCCCCAACGAACATCACCCATGGCAGCGTTTTTTTTCCCCGCACGAGGCGCCTAGAGGATTCAGCACTCTGGAGCCGCTATGCACGTGCCCTGGACCGAAACTCGTTGGGTAGTTTCTTGCTTTTTGTTTCCGTGGATTCCAGGGAAACCAACATGAGGACCGCAAAATGAGCCCCGGGACCCCAACTTGAAGATACCTCGAGATCAACTTGGCAGCGGGTTGGTCGTTTTCCGAAGTTTTCTGCTTAATTATTCTTCTTCTTTTTGGGTTGGTTGAATGGGAAGCCAAGAACCTCTTGGGGTTGGGGGCTTTGTTCAGCAGGGAAACGTTTGGGGTTTTGGGATGGTTCATGGTGTTTTTTGCTCGAGGGGGTCAGTTGCATGGGAGCCAGTTGGATGGTGGCCCATTTGAACCGGCACTCAGCCTCACTTCGTACGTTTTGAGGCGCATCGCCTCCAAGTCACCTGGGAAAACGGCTCTCAGCGGATCCCCACCACAATAGGTAACCCTTCGCCATGTTCCTTTTGGTGTTTAATAAAGGGAAGCCATGTTCAGGTATGGCTTTCGCTTCATCGGGGGTATATCAGCGTTGCCTCCAAAGCTGCCGGACATCTCCTAAAGGCAATGGTTACCTCTTGGCAGTGGCTCGTGGAGTGGGTTTTCAGGTATGGTTCCAACACAACGGCACACCCACTACCGCATGTTTTCAGGCATGGTTGCCGATTGGCAATGGAGTCACTGTGGGTATCCAATTGGTATATATGCATCCATACCTCCAAAACTGCCTGAAGCATTACCTCCAAAGCCCATATCTGAAAATGTCTTGAAGACTGCGCGGTTCCCTGGCAACGGAGTCTGCCTAATTTATAGCGAGCTTACTGATTTGGGAGCAAAACGAGCTCCCCAGGGTACAGATCCTTTACTTGGGGATCCAATTTTCGTCATTTCAGGGCTTGGACACCAAGATGGAGATGTTTAAAATTGGATTGGACACCAAGATTGATTGGATTGGATTGAACTCCCAGTTGTTCAGTGGCTCCCCTTTTCCCATCTTTTTGGTGGGCTGCCCCGCTAAACCGGCCTTCCCCAAAAAAATGGGTTCCGATTCTTTGTTTGGCCGGGGTCACTGAACTGAGAACTTGGAGACAGGGATCCCAGGCGCCCGCGCCCGGAGCGGCCGCATCCCGCCGGGGCTTCTGCAGGCCCGGCTCGGCGCTGGAAGCGAAGCCCGCCAGGGGCTTGAAGGACACCATGACACAGGGGAAAAGTTCACCTGGCGGAAAAAGAAGAAGAGGAAATCCGAGAAAGGAAAAACATAGGCGGAAAAAAACCACCACACAACACATGTCTGAAGTTCTGAAACCACCATGACGCCACCCAATTCGGGGTTCGAGAGCTCGTTTTGAGACAAACCCATATGTCAGGAAGCTTTGGAAATCCCTGGTTGCACAGAAGTTTCACTGTCAATGTCAGTCCCTTTCCCTATAGCCTTCATAGATCCTCAAGTATTCCCCTTCAACGGGCATATCCCCCCCCCCGCCCCTTGAAGTGGTTCATATCCCCAACAAAGTCCCCTTCAGTAAGAGGAAGTGCCAAACCGAGCTGGGGCCGAAAACCAGCGCGGCCTCGAGTCGGAGGCGCCTGAGCTGGATTTGCAGCAAGAGCTGCTGCTTTGGCACCTGCCGGATCCAGAGGAGCCTGTGGAATTTATGCCATACTGTGGGTGGACGAAATCCATTTCGCACCACCCAAGCAACCCCGGAAGGATGCTTCCCCCGCAAATACCAACAAATCATGGTTTCCCATGGATTCAAAGTGGTGCAGGTTTTGTCCATCCACAGTAGGGGTGCCCCCCCAGTCGGCTGGATCCCTCAAAATTGGGGGGGATGCTTGGGCTGGTAGAGGAGTCGTCTCTCCAAGGCTCCCTAAGGGTTCAACAGGTGGGATTTGGAGAAGTACTGTGGATGGTTGCGAGATGCGTTCGCAGCACAAAATGAAACCTGGTTGAAACCATAACGCTATTTTTGTTTTGCCAGCCAAATATGTGACGCCTGGATTACATGCAGATGTCGTGCTTTTTGAAACTATATCTTGGTACGTACGCACCTTGAATTTGATTAGGATTCGCTTACACTTGGGACGTCTTCCCAGGTAAGCAAATTCTATCAAACAGGCTCCAAGCGCTTGCACCAAAGGGCTGTAGCATCCGAAAGGAACCCAACCTTCTTACCAATTCAATGAGCTACCCAACTTATGCCGTGCAGCGTCTTTCGTTGTGTCCTTTGTGGTTGACTGGGTTTGAACCGCGGATTGCACCGGCAAACCATCATTTCGCTTCAGGAGGCAGAGTTAATCATGGCCGAGGGCTGCCGGGGGGCCCAGTGACCCGGTGGAAACTTCCTCGAGCCCCAACCGGCTTGTTGGGGTAATGAACCACAAGGTAGACTCCGAAAGGGGTAAACAAGTTGCCCACCTTGTCAGTTGGTTTGGCCATGAAATGAGTTGAGAACCGCAACAGTGTTGGTGGACATAAATCCCCCACCTAAAATCATTTTCAATTGGTCCCTATTTAAATTGAATGCCCTCAAGGGAACACAGAGGGCTCCGCTTCGAAATGTAGACGAGGCGAGACGGAAGCGCTGGACACTGAACAAGTGAAACGGCCCCTGTGATATTGTGCGACTCCAATTCCGGCAAAATTAAAGAAGCTCAGGTGATATCCCCGTCAGCATGCGGTGCTCTTTTAAGTGCTCGCACCACCCCGCAGCCCTCGCAAAACCTCATGGAACCCTGGTGCAACCCTGGTGCAACCCTCGTGGAGCCTTACCTAAGGGCCGCCCCGACCACCCCGGAGCCTATCTGGGCTGAGACCCCAAAGCTTTCAGCTGTTGGGGAAAAGGACCTCCCCCCAGAAAGTTCAGAGGCTTGTCTATGTCCATTGAGCCCATCGCGTAGCCCTGTTTTTCCCACAATTGGGCAACAAAGTCTTGTGGGTTTGCCCGGAAACTCGGGCTTCCTGTCAGGGGTTCAACATGCCATGGCCCAACAATGCCATAGGGAGTTTTGGACAACAGCTGTAGCAGGGCTTCCAGCCATCCGGTTCCTTAGCTTGTCTAGGGCCCCCAACTAGGTGCCCTTTCTTAGCCTTTTTGGTTGGGAGTTTTGGTTGGGAGGGTTCCCCTACTAAAATAGACTACAGAAAAAGTGGGTACCCTTATTCTAACCTCAAACTACTGGAGGACCTAGTTAATATAAATTTAGGTTGTGTTGGGTTTGCGAATTTCACCCACCAAAAGATAGTTTCACTTGTAGCAGGATTCCTGAATACCACGATCATAAGGAACTCTGGCCAGGGCACTGAGCATTTTGGATGTCGGGTAGGAATCTAACTATCTTCCGTTTGCTGAAAGGAATATTATTTTATTATTTTCCCCTCTTGGGTTTAAAGGGAATCTTTTCCCTGCTGGACAGGTTTATCTTTTTTGTCCAGGGGACTTACGATGGAAGCTATTCAATTGGTTGAGTCCCCCTTCCCTTCACCCATCGTATTCAGAACCTTCTTTTCTGCCATGTGAAGAGAAGGATCTTTTTCACCGGCATGTCCCCTAATGGGCACACCTCACCAGATGCTCAAGTGTATAGGGTGAAAGGGTTTGTAGTTCGGTAGAAGGATCTTTGAAGCGATTTGGGCGGGCGCTTTTTTGAAAAGGGCACCCCTTTGTTGTGACTTGTAAAGGAAAACCTCTTCTTTTTGCAGAAGGGGTCCCCTGAAAAAACTAACTCCCTGAGTTCATGCACTTTACACTGTTTCGGAAAACCATTGCAGTGGCAACCACACCAAGTTTGGCTATTCTCTTTGGCCAGTCCACTCGACCGGTGAAATAAAAAACGATCCACCCGCCCCAATGTCCCGCCAACTCAACCAACAGTTGACCACAACCCACCTCTTGGTCTCTTTTTCTTTTTCTGGGCGGGGTCCCCTGAACCCACCCCCCCCCCGGCCCCAAGTCCCCCCCGCCCCCAGGTCCCTCCCCACCGGTCCCTGCTGCCAGGCTTCCCCGGCTCGCCGCGGCGGCGCCGCGGGCCGCGTGGCAAGCGGGTTCTGACCTCCCCTGGGTCCCCGAAAGCGTGGAGTATCTTCGTTCGAATTGGGCGAGAAAAAGAAAGAAAGAACGCAGGCGTCTCTTTCTCTTTTCTCTTTCTCTTTCTCTCTCTCTCTCTTTCTATGTGTCGTTCTTTCCTGTTCTGTGTCCGTTTCGCTTCTTCTCTTTCTCTTTCTAATGTTAGTCTCTTTATGCCACTCTTTCTCTTTCTCCGCCCTTTCGGAATGCCTGTCTTGCCGAGATAACATCTTGCTTTTGAAACGGGAACCCGCACCCCCCGTGTTTTTTGGTTTGGATTTTGATCAGGAAACCGCAAGGAGAAGAAATCCACCGTTTTGGGGAAAAGCGTTTAAGGGTCTGTTTGTCTTTGGCCCCCCCCCTTTTGTGTTAAAGTGATCCACTCATTCCCCTTTTGGAACCTCCAAAAGTGGCGCTCGTTTCAATGGAAACAAGCAGTACATCACCACTGTCCTCTTTTTTTGTGGTAGCCCCGTTCTTGCTTGTAAATTCAGAACGAAACCACAAGGAGAACAAATCCACCCCGTTGTGTCTCTGAAAAAAAGGACGCCCATTTCTTCGTGAACGAACTCCACCTCCGGCAAATGTCTGGAGAAGTGTTGTCCCCCAACCGATGGGCTGGTCGATGTTGCAATCAAATCCGGTGGAATAGCCTGGAGATGGTTTCTATAGCCACATGAACCAGAGAATCAGTAATATCCTGAAGATCTGTAACCACATGATATCCCACCCACCAGAAGATTCATGAACGATTACCACCTGTTTCCATCAGAACGATTACCCTCCGACCAACAAACATGGAAGTGCGCAGACCCCTTTGGAAGACTACTTTGCACTTCCATGTTTGTTGAAGGAAGAGTATCACATAAACTTCACCTTCTAACCCTCCATGAACCATCCACTAGGCACAGTAACCACCTTACCACTTGGCCAGTGACCTGCTCACCCACTCCCCAGTATTCCTCGAATCCGCCCTGAGGATCCATTTGACCGAGGATCTGTCCAACGGCCAGTGCCGCAGGGGCCACACGTTCGCGTTCGGCCGAATCAAGTGGGTTGGCCGGCATTTTAGGTTGATATCTTGTGGTATGTGGCTATGGTCGACCAACCTACCTGGAAGTAAGTTGTCAAGGTTATAGCCGTACCCAAGGGTTCAACTGCCTTTCAGGACGCGCTCCGGGGGGGGGGGTTAACGGTGTCAAAGTACCACGGAGGGGTGCTTGCTGTGTTGTTCCAAGGCATCGTCAATAATTATGCCCCGTTGCGAAAGGGACCCCCTTTGTAGTGGTTCAATAGGAAAGGACAATTGGATTGGCCAACGCGGCGTGTTGAACACAGTCTTGGACCCTTATGCCTATCCAGAATCCAAGAAACCAGTAGGAAATTCTACAGGAGATTCAGGAGATCCTGGTTTTTGGTGGGGCATGTGGCCAATTCCTGTACACAGATCTTGCTGGCTTCGGTGACATATTCTTAGATAGGTTCCGCAAGTTCGCCAGGTGCAGGCAGATTCATTCTGCTGTGCCGGGCGGTGATTGGAGAACTGTGACTTGGCGAGCGATTTGGGTGGACATGAATAGACCACTTGAATACGAGGTGAAGATTGTGACCCACATGTGGTCACCTTCGTTATGTGACCCACTGATTTTGCACGCTGGGTCAAAGTAGATTGCGTTCCCTCATGTTGGTGACTCGTGAAAACCTCTACTTGCCACATGTCATCATGAAGGAAATTGCGCCATCTACCTTGACCTTAATTTGCAGCTATTTCGGGGAAACCATCCTGAGACCCCAAACAAAAAAGAATCTTTGGTTGGATTTTTGGGCCAGCAAGTGCAGGGGTGTCTTTTTGCCACCTTTTGTGAGAAAATGGGCGTCCCCCTCAAAAAGCAATCCTTCACTACGAGGGCGTCGATCATTTGTCCACAGGCCAAAAGTGGTTTCCAGGTGCCCCAAATGTCGAAGGCACTACGCGGCTACACTGGATCTCGCAGCGGTGCAGACAGCTCGCGCGGTGGGCAGCTCAAAGAGTGTCAGATGAGATTCGGGAGACAACTCCTGAGCTAGGTCCCCCAACTAGGTGCCCTTTCTTAACCTTTTTGGTTGGGAGGGTTCCCCTACTAAAATAGACAGCAGAAAAAAGTTGGTACCCTTATTCTAACCTCTCTACTGGAGGACCTAGTTATGGTCCATTTGGGAGGGACATAGGGGGAAGAGCTCTAAATCTCCCACAGAAACTAAAGAGCAACTCTTCCATGTCGAGCTGGGGACCTTGGCTCGAACTGGGCATCCCTTGCTTTTTTTCAACGTCAGCCAGAAAATGGACGCGAAATCCTGATGGGCGAATCCTGCACCAGTTGGAATGAAGCTCACCTACCAATTGGTAACATTATTTGCCAATTGTATAGTAAAACGAGCTCACCATGACTTAGGTCTTTTACCTGAAGGAGCTTACCATCTACGAATGCCCAGTTCGGTTTTCGGGCGTACGGGCGTCATGGCAACCAGGTTGTTCAAGATACTGTGGATGGTTGCGAAGTCCGTTCGTGCCACAAAATGAAACCATGGTTGAAAGCAGAACGCTTGTTGGTAGTTACAGGGGAATCGTAAATCCCGGGTTTCTGGGGCGCAGGGTTTCGCAACCATCCACAGTATGCCCTGCAAGAAGTGAGTATCTGAAGATGGGTGCATCTGAAAACAATGACGCTACACCATCTTAACACAAACACAATGCAAGCGTACAGCATTGCCGCAATCGCGGGTACGGCCTAAAACGAGAAGCCAGCAACAAACCTAAGGATCAAGGAGTTCCCTCTTGCATAACAATATTGTCAATCCCGATGAATGAACCTGGTGGATCTTTCTCTGGGTCCCTGCCCAGAGTGATATCCGGATCCCCCCTCCCTCCCCCCAACAAAAAACATGAAGCAAGACACACCCATACTGTGGATGGTTGCGAAATCCATTTCGCCACTTGAAGCCATGGGTGAAACCATAAAAGTTGGTTGGTAATTAACGTTCTGGAATCACATCGTTCCGTTGGGTTTCTGCTCGGTGGTGGCGAGAAGCGGATTTCGCAACCACGCATCATCCCCACAAGCCGCCTGCGATCCGGCAAGCCACCCACGAGCCACGAGCCACCCACAAGCCACCTGAGGCTGGCAAGGACGCGTTGCTTCTGCGTGGAGGAGGCGCCTGGGTTTCGGAAGGTATGGAAAGGTTGTAGAAATTTGGGTTTTAGCAGCCTTTTTGTACTTGAGCGTTCACCTAAGCTAGTAAGTGTTAGCCTAGGTTATAACCCACTTGCAAGTTCCTTGAAATGAGGTTAAGCTTGTTATTAGGGGGTTATACCCCAAGCGGCTCATCACTTACTGACTTGGCTAAACACCAAGTAGGGGTATATTTTGGACAACCTGGTTTTCCATGGTAAATACCGCGAAGTATTCTTTGTCGACGTCAAAAGCAAGCCGGGGAACGTCTCGCGTGCAGGCCCGAATCACTATGTCTTCTTGAAAGAGGACCAGCTGTACCCTGAGCGACACCCTCAGCACCGGCGCTGATGCATTGGCGTAGATGACGTTCCATGGCATGTGTTGGCTGAGTTTTGGCGACAAGGGCGATTCTGGCCTCCACTGTTGTTGGCATGAACGAGGTGTTGTGGTGTTTTGGTTCTGTGCATGTAGGGGGCTGCAAAAAGCAAAGTTTGTTGTTGCCATACCAAGGTTTGTAAAGTGACTGTCAATCCTTTTGCTGACCAGAACGATGGATTCTGCACTTGCGAAAAAGAACCAGACCAAGCAACAGTTGCTTTTATGTCGCATGGACGCCGTTTTTCCGAGGCGTTCCGAGGCTTGAGTTGATCTTCTTTGCCAGTTGGGTTGGCAAGCTTCAAACGGTTCGTTGGCAGGTTTCATCATTTTAGTACGGGACGTGTCTCTTTGTGCGGGGTTCAAGTAATGCATAAAGAAATGCTTCTTGTCTCCGAGAAGCGATACATCCAGTTCAGTTTGTTAGAGATTTTGGGGTTGGAACCCACGGCTTGTTTGTTCTCACCGGTTTTCTTTTGGTCCTTTCTAGCACCCAAAAGGGGGGTACCAACTCCAAGCCTCGACCCCCCCCCCTGTTTTTTTATGAAGGAGGAAGGCCTGCAACTTGCGAAGTTGCGCTTCCGAAGGTTTATCATCGAGCTCCTGCAGGACACCGAGTGATTTTCGCGGATCTCGAGGTCCAAGTCGCGTGAGCAAGTGGCACCTCGTGCAAGTCCCCTTCGTCTCAAACTTTGAAAGGCTAGGTCCCCCAGTAGTCAGTAGTCCCCTGTTACCCTTTTTTGGGGGAGGGTTCCCCTACTAAAATAGACAACAGAGACAGGGTACCCTTATTCTAGCCTGTCTACTGAGGACCTAGAAGGGGACTGTTGAAGGTGCCGCAGCTTTTCCGGCTCACGTGGGCTCCTCGCTGAAACCGGAACCCGAAGGTTAGCAAGACGAACCCGGATGGCCAAGTGAGGCGTCCAAGACGCGTCCAAAGTTGGCCATCGTTCTGCCGCCGGTACGCGCCAGCGCCAAGAGCCGGAGAAAACATGAGAGCGCGGGCTCCGGAACGAATCGACGAGGCTGTACATGGGGCAGTGACAGGCAGGTACGGATGCCAACTCAATATTGCATGTAGACCAACCACAAATTCCTTGGTTGAATTTACAGGGTTTCCCTTGCTCCCTGCTTGCAATCTTGAGTTGGCAACCACCCGTATTTGCAGTCACAATCTAGCACTGGCCGTTATAGCCTAAATACAATATGTTCGTAGATCTCGATTCGGGCATGAACAAAGTGTCCAAAATGATTGCAACTTTCGGCAAGGTCAAGGCGAAGCTATGTGTTTGCGCCTTCCCTCCCCCTAGTGTGATCACCTGTGGGCACCATCATACTACCTCGCAGCTTTGGTGGCCAAGAGGAGGGATGCTTCCCCTTGCCCCTTTCAGGTTCCGCTGTTTTAGCATGGAACCCAACTAGGTGTTGCCACCTCAAGAAAAAAGAACGACCCATTTCCCAGCTCCACTGCCGAGGCGATGTCAACAAAAATCGGTTCGAAGCGAGCCCCTCGCAGGCCTCGGCGGCCTTCGGGGGCATGGCGCCCACCACAGTGCGCGCCGCGAAGCTGGAGGAGCCTCTGAGCACGTGAAAAATATGTGGAAGCCACGGAGGGATGCTGTACTTCCAGTTGTTTACCTTATAAATCAAAACCCCCAAAAAAACAGGGACGATTCCAAAAAACACGGTTTTTATGGGCGTTGGCCAGGTTTTTGATTTATAAGGTAAGAATTTGTTTCTTCCCTGTTGGTTTTAACAGGAATCGATTTCACTACTGGAAATATATATGTTTATTGTTTTCCAGGGGGCTTAAGTAAATGGAAGTGTATGGGTGTGCCTTAGCCCCACCCTCTAAAATGCAACGGGGGTCAACATGATGGGTGTTTCTGAAAGGGGACCCTTTCAGCTGGAAGCCTCCAATGTTGGCCCCATATGAATTTCAACCAACCAGTTTATGAATAGTAAGGCAGAGAGGGTGGGAACACCCCCTATGAACAAACTGGGGGTGAAATTCATATGGGGTCAACATGATCGGGGTTTCTCACAGGGGACCCTTAAGGATGGCTTCTCAAAGGAGTTGGTCCCCAATTTTGAGAAACCACCCAGTTCAATGCATCTGGCAGCACACCTTTGTGCTACGTCCAGCCTTCCGGAAATATTCACCCACAAGGAACCACCCATATTTCTCACTTGGCCGGAACAATACATTGTGACGGCGGAGGGGAAGTCCGAAGAGCCGAGGGGTCAAGCTTGCTGGTTCCCACCGAGGCTGGCTTTTGGGCGGTAAAAAGGGTTCTAAGTACTTCCTTAGCAGATCATAGCAGGTACCAAGGGGCCCTCTGGGTATGGCTTTGAGTTGTTCTTTTTATGGGTTTAGTGGTAAGCTCCATTCAAGCCACAAGCTAGCCACTACAACTCAAAGGATGAGACAATGGACAGCCCAGTTCATGGCCGAAGCCACGTCCTCAAAGGTTAGGGGAGAGTTTCCTTGCCCTCAGGGCGGGTGCGGATACCCGCCTTTTCAATTATTGATATCCAACCGCAATCAACATCGCATCAAATTGATACTGCCAATCAATAAATCAAGCAAACAACACAAACAAAAACAACAGCAAGGGCAGCACACAACACGCTCTACTGTGGATGGTTGCGAAATCCGCTTCTCGCACCACCCTTCAGAGACCAAACAGAATGATTCGATACCAAGAAACACGGTTTGAACTATGGTTTCAACCATGGTTTCATTTCGCGGTGCGAAATGGATTTCAGATACATCCACAGTACATCATTTCCTGAGCAGGACATAAGAGTCGCTTTTTGAGACCGTTTTAGGTGGCAGCCAGAAAGTTTGGTTACCTTGTTGACCAAACTCAGGAAGTGAGATATTGTGTGTGGACCCACAATGGGCATCCAAAAACGCATCCCCATTTATCCCTTAGGGGTTGATGGTTTAAGCAAACATAAAAAGAACCCCGCGTTTAGGTAGGTTTGTCAGCTTGGCGGTTGCTTTTGCGGCATTGTCATGCGGCAAGGTTTCAAAAATTGTCATGCGGCGACTTGCGGAGACCTCCTTCACATCTTGGAGTTGAGAGCACTCCACGTGCGTGTTTCTTCCCCAACAGCTGAAAGCTTTGGGGTTTCTCTCCAGAAAGGCTCTGGGGGTGGTTTGGGGCAGCTTTCAGGGAGGGTTCCGGAGGTTGAAGGCTGTTGGGGATACCTGGGCTTATTCCCTTTTTTTTTCTCCCGCAGGAGGCACTTCAGGGTGCGGGCTGGAACAAGGCGCCGTGCCGGCGCCGTACCGGCGGGGAAAGTCTGAGGAGCTCAGGGGTTGCTTGGTTCCCGTTTCGAATGGTCGGGATCTTTAGGCTCGGTGTTTCGATTTCTGGTGGTTGGAGACTTCATGTCACCCACTAAAAGTTCGTCGCTTTTGGCAGGGGCATCCGAAAATGGACCGCAAACGGAACAGGTAACTCGTGGGCTTCTCACATATGAAAGCCGGGCTTTCATGTTCCGCCTGGCTTTGGTGAGTTGTCACTGAGCCGAAGTCGCGGGGCGTTTTGCTTTGGAGTCGGGGAAAGGACGACAGGTTGTGCACCAAGTTGCCAGTAGGAAATGGTGGGGTTACTCACCCAAATCCGGGTTGCCAGTTGGCGACAAAACTAATATATGACTCACATCCGAGAGATTTCACCCGCCGAGTGAGCGGGTTTTCAGGCCATGTAGGGAAGGTTCTGTGAAGCCAAATTGGAAATAGCTCCTGTACGTTTGGCGGCAGGGGTCTGCCAAGCATCGCCAAGTTTGACTGCATGCTGGCGCATGGTTTGTAGTACCAAGTGTGTCCCATTGTATTTTCACAGTGATGGGCTCAACATTTGCAAAGCGCAAAAGGCTTGGATCTTCAGTTCCTCAAGTGAGCCACAATCAAAACCCGGGCAGATGAGGGTTAGTAAGGGACAATCCCAACCATAAATAGTTGTGGCCGCCTTCTTAATTATTTATTTGGTTCTGGATAGACCATTTTGATACCGGGTGTTGATTATGACTCAAGTGCTTTCGGAAAAGGGCCAGCAACGAAGACAAAACTGATCTCCATCTGGGTCCCGGACGCCTTGGTGGCCAAGCTTAGCGATAGGCCGCGATATGCACACAATAAGTTTTGACCCATAGGTGTCCTGTTTGGTTGATTTGGTTGAAAAGATGGCCCTGGTTTGTCAGGTGGTTTACTCATCTATCAGGGCCATCTATTTCCTCCAAAAGGACACCTATGTTTTGACCGCGGCGCATGTTGATGCACATGAAGGAACATCGCACCTCGCTCATTTTCTAGATTTGGACGTACCTGGAGTCTCCATGACCCTTTAAAAAATGGGTCCATGACCCCTTTTATTTTGGGTAATGACCCCATTTTTGAAGGCTACTGGTGGCTTCTGCGGGTTATTCATTGATTTCGACATAATGAGAGAGTATGTACCAGACCAGGACTTAACAGGAGTCGCCCTGGGACTCGGTTTGCAAGCCACCTTGCTTGCGTCCAAATTTGAGACTCTCGCTGTCCAACTTTCATGGACAGGCCACCCTGGAGAAAGCGCAGGCAGTGCTCGCAGAGGACTGGAATCAACACGGGATGAAACGTCAGTTCCATCTATGGCTAGGTCCCCCAGTAGTGCCCTTTGACCCTGTTTTTGGGAGGGTTCCTTTACTAAAGTAGACTACAGAAAAAAGGGCACCCTTACCTAGATGGTTCTGTGGTTCAAATCTGACCTTGTAGCCTTTCGGCTTTTCCTATATTTCCACTTTTGGGAGAAGTTTTTGGAGGTCCCAACAGGTGAACTGTGTTTTTTCTCTTGGCCAAAGAGGAGGTAAGGCAGGGGCACTGGACGGCATGGGGAAAGTTATCAGACCCCGCGAGTTTGGATTTGCGAGTTTGGTGTCGGACAGATTCTCCACAGACTCGCTTGAGGCTTTCAGGTCAACTCCTGCCCAAAATGGAGGTACTTAAGGTAACTAGGAACCGCCGTTTTTTCTACACATAGCCTGAACAAGGCGGGTTTTGTTGAGTGCTTGGCTCAGGCCCGATTCAGAAGCATAATTATCCGCCGACATTTCGTGAAACAACCGCCCCCTGGCCCCCATTCAAAGGGGCAGCCAAACGGATTTGAGAGTGTGTGTGTGTGTTTTTTGTTGCGCCGTGAAGGAGACCACCCTTTTTGTTGGGTTCCCCCCAAGTTGGCGCACACATGGGGCATGGGTCAAAAATTGAATCACCAGGAATTGGACCGCAGGTCTTAGTCCATGTTTCCATTTACCAGGGTTCCATTTTGGGTACCTATTTTTGACCCACAGCCACATTGGTTGGGCAAGAGTGGTTTTGCAAATGGTGATCGATTTGTTTCTTCAGGGCTTGGGTTCATGGTCAGGGGTGGGGGACGTAGAATCTCCCTGTACCTAGAGTCTCCATGACCCTTAAAAGATCGGGTCATTACCCAAAATAAAGGGGTCATGTACCCTACTTTTAAAAGGTCATGGAGACTCCAGGTAGATGGATGTTTTCTTTTTCCCCGCAGGAGCTTTCTTTGCCCGAGACGGTTCCTGGTGGCATGGCCGCCTACCGCCAAACCCTCGCAGTGCTCGGAACGCCCGGAGTCGAGACGAGCTTGGACTTCCGTTTCGCCGCAGATGAGGAAGCCATCGGTTTTAGCGGAATCCCTTTTTGGGGACATGGACCCCAAATGAGATTAGGAGGAATCTCCTTTTGGGAAATGGACCCGTTTTTTAGGTTCCATGATGAGTGAAGTGTTGATGTGGTGAAGAGTACCTGGGGTTTTGCATAGTGGGAAGCAGCAATTGCTGGGGCGTGCCGGTTCTTGAACATTTGCAGGGACACCTTGGAGTTATTGGACATCATGGAAGGAAGCACTCAGCTCCGAAACTGTTGCTGTGGCTGAAAGGCTGAAATCAAAGTTGACCCTGATGTTCACGTCGGAGTTTCACTCTTTTCGCGCACATCCAGAGTCACTGGCGAATGAAGGGTCCCCCTACTCACGCCGAATCAGCATTGGCTCAAGCTCCATTCAATCGCACGCTTGTCTTCATCGTCATGCCTGAGTACGAGCTCTTCTATTTCCCCATCACCGGCTTGGGTGAGCCCATTCGTCTCGCCTTTGCCCTGGGTGGCATCCCTTTCAAGGACACCACCCCGGCCACTGACGAGACCTTCAACGACCGCAAGGCAGGGCGTGAGCCAACTCCTTCAACTGGGTCTGTGTTCTTGGAGGCCACAGTTTTCAGGTCGGTTGCTCAAAGGGAAGGCCAAAAAAAAACACAAGTGTTAAGGTCCCGTATTTTGACATACCCAGACAAGAGATGCTTGAAACAAGTCCATGGTTTAAACCCATGTTGTTGAATCACTCTCATTTTGATTTCCCAAACAAACTCAGGGAAAGGTTGAAAAACATCCATGATTTAAACTACTATTGTTGAACCACTCTCCTTTTGGCTTGCCAAGGGGACTCAGGAACAGGTTGCAACAAATCCATGATTTAAACCACTAGTGTTGAATCACTCTCCTTTTCGTTTCCCTTCCAAGGTGTATCAAGATACGGTTGCAAGAAATCCACGAAGTAACAGCCATTTGTTGGTTTCCACATGGGTGTGTGCCGCGAAAGAACACCTCGAATACCCGCGAATCATAGCCCCCCTTTTTCAAACTTCCCGGTCCGAGCAGGTTATTTTGGCACCACACCCCACCTGCGAATCTGCCATTTGTTGGTTTCCTCGTGCTCATGTTGGGTTCATCAACCCACATGCGATGGTGTTTTTTTTCGGCACACGAACAACCCCACCTGCGAATTCCTGGGGTTCACCGTTCCAGGCCGCACTCCATCCCTACCTGCCGGAAGCCGGCGGCATGCCGATCCTCACCATCGACGGCAAGGCCTTCGCCCAATCCCGCGCCATCCTGCGCTATGTGGGGCGCATCGCGAAGTACGAGGGCGAGCTGCTGTACCCCACAGATCCCATGGAACCTTGCACCGTTGCGTGTTTGTCTTTTTGCGTGTTTTTTGGGTGTTGTGATCAAGGCACCGGTGCGTCTTCGTTTTTGTCCGTGTGTTTTGGTGTTCTGATTCAGTTGTTCTTTGTTTAAAGCAACATATTTGTGTTTTGGTGTTCTGTTCATTTTCAGGTTCGGGAGCTGCAACAGACTTTCAGTTGTTTGCAAGGTGTGAAGCTGGTTGCAACCATTGAGCCTGGACGATTGCTCTCTGGGGTCTATGCTGGTATAGTTGCCAGGATCGTTGGTACCTAACTTGAGGGTTGGACACACTAGGTTAAAGCAGATTGAGGTAGAGGGGATGACTCAGCCAAAATGGGTTGGAATGGTGCCATTTGTCACCCAACTGCAACCTTTGATGTGTTCAGAACATGACAAAGCCTCCATGAACTCGCAACAAGTACTTTTTGTTGAGGGGGGTTGACCAACTAAGAGTACTCACCTAACCTTTCGGAACATTTTCCATCTTTCCGCGAATTGCCCGGCAAGAAGGACATTTTCGCCATACTCCAAACCCGGGCAGAAGGTTAGCATCCCGGGTGAGGTTCCGAATGACCAAGGAACAGCTGCTGTGCGATGAGCTGATAGAAATTGCAGAGGACATGCGTGCGCCGATCCCTGCCACTTTTGCGATCCAGGCGGGTCTCAAAATAAGGGACTGAAAAGCACCTTGGTTTATATCAGCCATCAAACTGAAACCAATGTCCCCAACCCTGCGGTTTTGGGGGAGAACCAAAACGCAAAACACCTCGAACAAACCCAAAACAAACAAACCTAACGCTGCCTCACATATGAGGGACATGTTTTGGAATGACGGGGGGAACCCAAACTCAGAAAAACCTCGAGAAAACCAACAAATAAATATATGAGGGAAATGTATTGGTATGATGGGCTTGCCAAAAGTAGTTGTCGGGAGGTTTGTTTTTCCCCACCCGACAGGAAGGGGTTGTTAGATTTTATGTTGGAATCCGCGTTTGCGATGCTCCTACGCAGTATCCCGCAAGAGCAGCTCGCCGGTGGATCCCGCCGAGTATGCCCGGCAGAGCGGCTCGCCAGTGGATCCCGCCGAGTATACCGCCAGAGCTGCTCGCCAGCGGATCCCGCCGAGTATCCCGCTGAGTATCCCAGAGTAGCTTGCCAGTGATGCCGCCAGAGCTGCTGGCCAGTGGATCCCGCCGAGTATCCCGCCAGGGCGGCTTGCCAGTGGATCCCGCCGAGTATCCCTCTAGAGCGGCTCGCCAGTGCATCCCGCTGAGTATCCCGCCAGAGCGGCTCGCCAGTGGATCCCGCCTAGTATCCCGCCAGAGCAGCTCGCCAGTGGATCCCGCCGAGCATCCCGCGGAGTATTCCAGAGTAGCTCGCCAGTGGATCCCGCTGAGTCGCCAGTGGATCCCGCCGAGTATCCCGCCAGAGCAGCTCGCCAAGGGATCCCGCCGAGTGTCCCGCCAGACCAGAGCAGCCCACCAGTAAAATCCCGCCGAGTATCCCGCTGAGATCCCAGAGTAGCTCGACAGATGATCCCGCCGAGTATCCCGCCAAGTAATTTTTGGTTTTCTCGAGATTTTTGCTACTTTGGCACAGATGCTTGGGCGCTCAGATTTTGGACCCAGCACGAGATGCAGATCATGGAAGCAGTCTGAAGCGCACTGCGCACAGTGTGTTTGCCAAAGATATTGTTGGAAAATGAAGATATGCCGAGTTAATTGGCGAGAGGGGAGGATGGCAGATGACATGAAAGACATTCTGGATTCTAAGACATGACTAAGGCGACTAAGGGACACGAGATGGTTGATGGCCATCCATCTCCTTCCCTTCTCTCTCATCTCTTGCCCCGCCTCCACCCCCATCTCATCTTCAAGGAAGCTGTAGGTGGTGAGGACTAGAGATGAAAGGGAGAACAGAGAGGCAAGATAGAGGTTGAAATTGGTGAGCGTTGCCGCTAGCTGCAGAAGGTATCTCTTAGTGATAGAGATGACAGAGAGACTGATGTAGGCAAGAGATGGAAAGGTCATAAGGTCAGATATCCATTTGTATTCTATTTATCTTTCCTATCTCTTCATTTTTCTTCTTTCCTAGCCACTGCAACGGTGCGAATGGAAAGGAGAAAGGAAATAGATTAAGAGAGAGATAGGACAGTGACTAGGTAAGAGGCGACAAGAGGAAATCCCATCCGCTGGCCAGTTCTCTCCAGCAGTTACAAATGCATTCCTCTTCCTTCATCTCTTTTCAGCTTCTCTTTCCCAATCTCTTCCCCAATTCTAAGTTACCTTGGGAAAAGGGGGGAGGTCAAGAGAAGGGAAGTGAGTGAAAGCTAGACGGGCTGGAATGTCTTTATTGTTGTCCCAGCTCTTGGTCTATCTGTTCACTCTCTATCTCTTTCCCAATCATCTTGGCCTGTCATTCCCATTCTCTTTTTGTAACCTTGGGGGTGGCATGAGAGGTAAGAATGGAGAAAGGGAATGCAAGAGATGGAAAGCATTTCTGTTTTATATCTGAGAATCTGGAACTGCTTTTAGGATAGTAAGCATCTCTTTCCCTTTCTCTTCCTTGGTTGTCCTGTCTCTTCGCTCACTTCTTCACTTATGAAAGGAGATTTGGAAGGGTGAGAAAAGAAAGAGAATGAGTGGGGCAGTGCGCTACGGGATTGTCATTGGCGCTGAGGTCGGAAAGGTGATGTTGAAGATGCCCCGCGGTTGCTCAGCAGTGTAAACTGCATGAAGGGGCCTGCAAGTGAGCCCCTCCACCACCTTTTTGAGGTCATCATAGGTCATGTTCTCGGCAGTGCCAGAGGAAGATGCAAGGGTGCAAATAACAGATGGAAATGGTAAGGCAAACACAAGAAAAGGGGTCAAACCACCAGATCAAAGGCTGAGCCTTATCTAAGAAAAAGCTCTTGTGACATATGTAGTTGTTTTCACGTAAAACACAGGGCTGGGGACATTGGCAAGCAGAATTGGGCGCAGCCGCCTTTGTTGTTCTTTACATTGGTTTGGGTAGACCATTTTAATACCGGGCTTTGATTGTGATTCGTGTTTGGTTTCCCTCACAAGCCGCTCCAATGTCAGACGACGAGATCTTGGGTTTTTCTAGGTCCGTTTCAGAGTTCCAACGAGTGGTGTTTGAGCCAATCTTAAAGTCAGGTCCCCCCCCGCCCCCGAATTGCCCTGAGGTGGTTGAATCCTTCAACCCCCATCAACTTCAGTTGTTTGCTGCTTCCCAGCATTTTTGTTTGGTTCCACGAAGGGCCGGTGGTTTTTCGCACAGGACGAGGAGGAGAAGAAGGCGGCGCGCGCGGCATTGGTGGCCGAGGATGGCAAAGTGGCCAAGTGGCTGCGGGTGCTCGACAGGTGCGGTACAGCCTTTCTGGGCTTGGGATGAAGCAAGGGTTAGCAATAGAAAAGAACCGGAGCCACTTGCAACCAAAGCGGCCCTGTTGGTTTCCTTTTTTTGGCCCATTTTTAGTCGCGGCCCTGAAAGGTTAGCCTTTTATTTGCACGTCCTTTGGGCAACTGAGACTCAAATGCAAACCCCTGGGCTTTCGGACTCTCTCTCTCTCTAAAGTCGCCAATTTTGAGAAGCACCCAAATCAGTTGCCCATATGGGTTCATCATTTTCTTGGACAAAATGACTTTACGGAACAACTTGTCATCTCCAACACGGATTTAAAATTGAGTCAGAAAATGCGATTCTTTGTACTCTGTTTTTGTGGGCCAGTTTAAAGGGAAACAAGAGGATGTTGTTTCAACCAGGGTCATGGTCGTCGAAAACTGGATTTGGCTTGTTTCTTTCTGTGCTGATAGTTGTTGGTTGCAAAAGGTCCGCAACAACACAACCCCCCTTCCTCCCCGCCTCCCCGCGAAACCAAAAGGAGATAGAATTTTGGAAGCCAACTGTTCGTTTGGGTTGGAGACAACTTGAAGTATTTTGGTTACACAATTCATATTTGAACCACGCTGCCCCTAAGACCATCCAAAAGGACAAAAAGGATGCTCAAACCGTTTCAAGAGTTTGCTCACCATGTTCTTCGCTCGCATCGCGACAGGAAGCTGGGGGAAAGCTTCCCAACGAAGCCCGGCTGCTGTTGATTGGGTCTTTAAGCTTTAAGCCTTGTTGCGAACAGGATGTTTTTTGTTTCCCACTCACCTGAAGGTCTAAACCTTTGGGAAGGGGGGGGCGGGGCGGGCGGGGCTTGGGACGCGGGCGGGAGGCGGGGAGTCACGCGGGACGCAAACGTGGCACTCTCCATAGGAGTCAAGGGGTAAGGACCTGGGATCTGACAATGGTTTGGTCGAGAAGGCTTCGGCTCTGCTTGTTGGGACACATTTGTGTTTTACCCTTTTTGCCTTATTTCGTGGTTGAGTGATGTTGAAATCCAAATCCAACCACTTCACTGCCTAAGTCTTCTTCTCGTCTTCTTCTGTTCCGCCCCCCTTCCAAGGTCCAGTCTGCTCTGCTCTGAAAGGGATGGCTGGCTCTACGCCGCTTCGGCATCGGCTCGGCCCAATGTTCGGGCAGGGTAACAGCTCAACGTCTCTGGCCCTCGGGTCACGTCTCACAAGCAGCCCAAGGAAGGTGACCATCGGCGCGCTCTACAGCTGGGTGGTGGTCAGCATTCTCCGCCAGCCCACTTTCCTGGACGGCATCCCCGCGGGGCACCTGGACAAGTACGCCAACATCACCAAGCTGCCCCCTGGCAATGCCGTTGCGGACAGGCTTTGGGTCCAAGGGAAGTTCGCTTTTCATTTTTTTTCTCCCGGGGAGACAAACACTTGGGGTCAGCAAGAGAAACTTAGATTCGTTTTCTGTTTTTGTTTTTCCAGATTTGGAGGATTTGCTGGTAGAGCAGCAACAATAAGCGCTAAGATTGTTTTGTTTTTCAGATTTGGAGGAGTTGCTGGTAAAGCGGTCACCTACACCAGACATCTGTGGGGTTAACAGTTAGAGGATCCCCTGGTAAAACAAGGATGATAAAACTGGTGGCTTTTGGTATCCTTGGGTGTGAAGTCTGATTGGACATTTTTTTGGCAGCTGAGCGATGGTTGCACACGAAGCCCAACATACCCTGAGGAAACGGGGGGGGAGGTTGCTTACCACAATCCAAGTTGGGGACATAAGTATTGGCCATGCCTCACCTGAGCCATCCGATTGGTGAAAGGAAACCACCTATGTTTATGTTTCCCTTTAGCTTTTTGTTGTTGCTTGGTTGCTTGGTTGGTTGGGTGGTCGCATCCCCAGCATTGCCGGCCTCACTGCCTATTGGCTCAGTTTTTGGGGAGTTTGGGGCTGGCTGAGATCCCAATGAGGGTGGGTCTTGATTGGGTTAGTTTGCAGTTCAGGTATTGCATTTTCAAAGGCTCGGCAAAGCGCTGGTATCCAGGCTGCTGTTGGGTTGGTTTAGGGTTGGCTTTCGGGTTGACTTGGCTTGGGGCTGATTTTTCTAGGTGCGTGGGAGGCTGGATCGTGAGGGTTGCTTTCAGAGGGTGCGTGACTTTTGGGGATGCTTTGGTTGTTTGGGGCAGATTCACGCACAAATCAGCAGCAAGTCGACCCAAACCAAAAGTCAACCGAAAACCCAACAGTAGCCTGGATACCACCCTCCGAGCCGAACTGATACCCACCATTAAGATCTCAGCCTTCCGAAACCACCATAACCACCGAAGAAACGAAGAGCCAAGAGGCAGCTTTAGGTCCTTGGATGCGGCCAACCAAGCCGGGCAATGAGAGAATACCGCCAACACGCCGCGAGCCCAAAAAGCCTGGGGCGAGTAGCACACAAGCCTCAAACCCCAACCATCCTCCCCATTCAAGCTGTTCTTCGATTTCCAACCTTCAAGGACGGCAGCTTCCGGTCCTTTGAAGAGCTGTCTTCCTCTTAGTCTGCTCCCTTAAAGCGCACGCCAAACAGCACCCCTTTGGAGCAGCTTGTGAAGGTTGCCAACATAATTCAAGGAACCCTGAAAACTACGCCAGTCCTATTCACTGTGAGGCGACCACCGTGAGACCAGATTCCCCCTTCGTCTCAGCCAGGGCTCTGCAAAAAAAAAAACGGCTCCCGTAAAAATTCATTCCTCGCAAACGCGGGAGGAACAAATCAGTCCACCAGTCGAGGCACCAGTGGTTGGCCCAGCAACCGGCGGTGCTCAAGTACTACGAGGGCAAGGAGGGCCGCGACGCCCACAAACCGCTTTGAGCAGTGACGCAGTGACGCTCAGGACTTCGAATCCGAGACTTTCAGTGGGTGGATGACTTCGTTCAACTTCCATTTGGTCAAGAATATGTTATTTTTCCCCTGTTGGTTTTAAAGGGAATCGATTTCACTACTGGAAATATTTCATTTTTACTTTTTTTTCCTTTTTTTTTTTTCGGGGGACTTAAGCAAATGGAGGTCAAAGGTTTGGTTCCCCGATTCCGTCGACCTTTGCGAACATGGGCGGCATGTCTGGGTTTCCCTCGGCCACTGGAAATTTGGCGAAGCGGATTCGATTCGATCGCTTGCACGAGATCGTGCACCCTCCAACGACTGCTTGTGCTCAAAAAACCAAATGACAATGAATTTTAATAGGCCTCAAAAGCGATTGGCGGGCCGAATTCGGATGTCCACCAAAGGGTTCCTGATGAGAATTCATCCCCAAATAGGTGTCTTTCAAAGGCAGTCGCTGCAGGGGTTGCCTTTTGGCAGCATCCGCAAGGAACAGTTTTGCGGCTCGAAGCTCTGAGGGTTGAGGCCAGCAAGCCTTGACCAGGGCGGAGCAGAAGGTGCGTGCTGAGATGGCGGCCCCCCCAAAACTCCCGCTTTTTGTGCGGTGGATGATTCCCGTCACCGGGGGGAAAAAAGCAGACACAAATGCAGAGACCACCCAGAAGCTTTGGGCCTCCCATTTTTTTGGTATGCACCCGACAGTTGATTCAGCAGCAGGAGCGGAACAAAATTCTGATCACTGCGCGCGCGCATCTTATACATCCTCAGCGTCCTCAGCCGTTGTTCTGCTCAAAATGTTATCTGGGTCCTAATCATCTTATGGTGTGATTTTCTCGGCAGGAAGCCAGAAGAAGCTTGGAATTATAGAAAACATATGGATTCGGTTGACATCCACAATTAAGTCATCCAAGTGAAAGTTATGTATACTTAAAACAAACTGCCGGGACCTGTCAACGGGATATTAAGCACTTGCAAAGTGGGGCGGTCATCCAAATACGCGTCCTGTTGTTAAGCGTCATGGGCATGATGGACAGCATGGATGTATTTTGGGAAGTCGGTGAATGGGCATGCAGGCAGCAGGGTTTCCTATGTTGCCCCTTTGGGTTGGTTCAGATGACACCTTTGTCAATTCAAAGTCATTTCTCAAGCGGCAATAGAGGGAAACCGGATCTAGCTGCTTGTAGCTGCTCTGATCAAACGAACTTAATGTGATGCCGAATTAGCATCTTTGAGACGCTCTGCCTTGTAGCTTTGATGTTTGCGCGACTTCTGGAAACCACAGATTGGGTTTCTCTCAAATTAGGAGACCTCTAAGACTGGTCGGTTTCCCCCTTCAACTTGTCTCCCTCTTTAAAAAAAGAAGAAACACATAGAAAAACACACACACACGCACAAAAAAAGGGCACCCTCAAAAACGACACCCCCATATACAACCGATCTTACATTCCCGCTTTAACTTGGGCTCGTTCCCAGCCACACAGCCTGTGCACAGTCGTTGCATTCCATTACAACCTTGCACACAGGCTTCTACTTCTTTGCTAAGAGGTAGACTTAGTTCCACGCTTGGGAGTCTAATTTGGGTAGTCAAATAAAGGCCTGCCAAGGTGAAGTGGCCATGAAGTTCAATAAGGAACCACCTCAAAAGGTGATTGGTGGACATAAATCCCCAGCGAATTCTGATCTCCACCAAACCCAGAGGGATTTTTGGTAACCTGCTAAGGAAGTAGTTGGACCCCTTACCCAAAGCCATCCTCAGGAGGTACTTGGAATTCTATTCCAAGTCATGAAGTCTGATTTCCCGAAGAGTCTCAGGTCCTTTCTCTACAAGTTCTACGTGTCCACGTGCTTGGACCTCGCCGAATCGAAGGCCCGGCCGATAATTGGTGGGTGAAAGTGCCAACCTGACGCGGGTTGGTCCCTCAACTTCCCTTTGCTGACCTCCCAATTTGGCAGCTCAGTTGGAACCCACGACGCAAAATCAAGGACCCCTGCAGGGGTGCAGGGGTGCAGGGGCGCACGCTCTTTTCCCATGGCCACTGGGGGCCTGGGGTACGGACCGTTGATGGCTCACAATTCAACACCACGCAACGCCCCACGCCCATGAATTCAAAACCACCAGCCATCTCAGGGAGATTGTAATTCAGAACTCTCCTTTACCTGATGTGCTTGGGTTCTTTGCTCTACGTTACCCTAGAACCTAGTGAGCCTCAAACCCAAAACTAACATGTATAATATATATATGTATATATGAAGTTATATATATATACATATGTATATGTTACCCTAGAACCCAGGCGCTTCTAGTTCTGAGCGGAACGCTTGATTCGGCGGAGCTGAAGGCCGCGCCGGCGCCGGCGGTGTCTCCAGAGGAGGCCTCCGCAGCTGTGAGCTTTTTGGCGGAGGACGGTTTTCACGGGAGAGCTCGACGGTTTCTCACGCGAGTGCATCGAGGACACCGTCCCCTTTGTGAAATGTGGGCGGTTTAAATTGGGCAACCAAAGGTTGAACACCTTAAAAGCAAGGAAAACAAAAGTGTTTTTTAGGGCGTCTGAAGAAGCTCACTTGCTGAGTTCTGGGACTTTCGTCCTTCGTTGGTTGGTTTAGGTAAACGACCAGTTTGGGCACCTTTTGTTGGCCCGTCTCCTTGGGAAGTGGGCGTTTTCCACCTGACATGGGTTGCCCAAACAGGTCCCCAAGAAGAAGATCCTTGTGGTTCCCACTCTAAAACTGATGGGTTGTCGCGGTTCCATGGTAACTTGTAAGGTAGCCTGGTGGTTTTCAGATTTTGGTCCATAATTAGGTCCATAGCGGAAAAAAAGGTCCGCATGTTATTTCGCAGGCGCTTTGGGCAAGTGAAGGTTTTATTCTTGAGTATCATTGAACCCTCCGATGAAGGGATCAGGGCCAACACTGGAAGGGTTGGGCGGTTGATTTGACTATGCTGGTATCTTTTCTTGAACTGGGATTCATAGAGGCTTGTAGTGTAAGTGGTCAATATCCCCAGTGAAGTCCCTCAGTGGGATTTTCCCTACACACAACCCACTTAGGAATCAACCGGGAGTACAAATACAATTTCCTGCTGTCACAAAATCCCCCACATACGTCAAACAACCTCAAACAAGCCGCGTACGTGGATCAAATCAGCTGCGGTGATCATCCAAGTAGGCACACAACAAAACCCCGTTTGTTTTGTTCCCCACCCGACAGGAAGGGGTTGAAAGATTTTAAGTTGGAATCCGCGTTTGCGATGCTTCTACACCACGCTCCCACCCAGTGGATCCCGCCAGAGCAGCTCGCCAGTGGATCCCGCCGAGTATCCCGCCAGAGCAGCTCGCCAGTGGATCCCGCCGAGTATCCTGCCAGAGCTGCTCGCCAGTGGATCCCGCCGAGTATCCTGCCAGAGCTGCTGGCCAGTGGATCCCGCCCAGTATCTTGCCAGAGCTGCTGGCCAGTGGATCCCGCCGAGTATCCCGCCAGAGCGGCTCGCCAGTGGATCCCGCCGAGTATCCCGCTGAGTATTCCAGAGTAATCCGCTGAGTATCCCGTAGCTCGCCAGTGGATCCCGCCGAGTATCCCACCGCCGAGTGAGCCGGAGCGGCTCGCCAGCATTTGCCAGTGGATCCCGCCAGAGCATGGTTTTGCTTAATGCCCTGCCCGGCGCACAGCTGGGTTTACATTTCATGTTGGTGCCTTCGTGTTTTGAGTGTACCCTGAGGGTGATGCTTTTGTGTTGTTT